TCTATTTTGTGAGCTTGTCGGGTAGTACCCTGGCTTACTTTCCTTGTCTCGGCATATTCGTCGGCCAGCCGAGCCGCCTCCTTTAAATTGGCGGGGCGCCGATCTCGTACCCAGTCTTGTATGTCCGCCGCCAAATCTTGGAAGAAATGTTCCATTAAGAATAACTGTAACACCTCCTCACCCGTGTGGGCTTTGCATCCTTGGACCCAGTGAGATGCTACTCTCTGTAGTCGGTTTGCCCATTCCATGTGGGAGTCCACAGCTTTCTTTTTGGACTCCCGAAAGCGACGACGGTAGGCTTCTGGGGTTACCGCATACCTGGTGAGCAGTGCCTCTTTTACTTTTTGGTACTGCGTGATTTCCTCTGTAGTGAGTGCTCGGAAAGCCTCATTAGCTTTCCCTGACAGTTTTCCCGCCAGGATAGTGACCCATTGCTCTGGCGGTATGTGATGTAGTGAGCACTGTCTTTCAAAGTCAGCCAAATATCCATCAATTTCCTCGTCATTTTCTACAAAGGCTTTAAATGCAGTAAAGGGAATTTTTGTTACCGTAGTAGTGGGTAGCGGGGTAGGAACTGTCTGGGTAGTGAGCTGTCGGGCTCTTACCAGTTCCGTTTCTTGTTCCCTCTTGGTTTGTATTTCTTCCCTTGTTTCCCGGAACAGTTGGGTTATTAGTTCTGTAGACGTGACTGGATACAAAGCTAACCTCCGCTGCACAATTGCAGTAATCACATCGTCCTCACTGATGGGTGCCATGGGTTCAGTTACCTCCATGGACCTGTCCATCTCGTCCAGCTCCAGCAAGTCAGCTATCAGCTCCCTCCGTGGTCTGTTGCTGGCACTCCTACCACGATTCTCCAACAGATCCTTTAGTGTGGGTCTTTTCAGCTTCGCATACTGTGACTCCATTCAGTGCTTGCTTGTTGGATAAAAGGACCATCCCACCGCTGCCACCAATGTAACGGCTACCCTGGTAGAGAGAGGGTATCGGCCGTTGGAGACGTCCTTTTTCCCTGCAAGCTGCTGTGGAGAAGTAAGCTGGTATAATCCCATTCACGATATCCAGAGTAAAAGTCAGGTTCAGCTGTAGCAGGAGCAGAATAACATTCCCAAATAATCCCCTTCCAAGAACGAGACAAGGCTACGTTTTGCAGGGTCAAGAAGATCTGAGGTCTGGGAAACCCAGCCTGCTTTTTATTAGGAACAAGTACACACAGGACACTCCCAGGGGGAGGATGAAAATAACCAATTACACACAGGGTAACACCCCCACGTCTCCTCCCCTCAGATAAACATATAACATAATTATAACGTACCTAAATTTACCCACATTCTGGATGTACCCCAAAAACAGGGGGTACACCTTTAAGTCCAGCACCGCTTAATAGCTACCACTCAGGGGAATAACATATTCAAATTTCAAGTCATTCGGTTGTGGGGTTCGGGAGTTATGGGTCTTTGAAGTTTTGACCGACCGCACAGGATTTTCAGCCGAAAAGAGTTCCACAAGTTTTGGCCTTGCGGTCGGTCCCCGTTCGTGAATAAAAACCCCACGAACCCCTTGCCCTCCACAGTAATCCTGCCGTTCGCCTGAATCCCCATGCATGCTTAAACAAAACTACCGAACGGCCGGTCGTTCGGTAGTTTCAGCACGAACTTACGAGCTCCTGGAGGTCTCAGCGGCGTTCGCCTGTTTGCGTATCCGTTTTTAGTTCCATGCGTTCACAGGCAAACACCGCCGTTCGTGCGTAAGATGGCCGCGAACACGTGTAAAGTCCCGAAATGGCGGCCACCTATTCTCAGACAAAGGGATTCGTCTGAACCAGGCGAACGGCTGTATTCTCCAGTAATGATATTCCCTTGCAATGATTTCGCCATTTTCACTGTTTTAGTCCACAGGGCTTTGGTGCTGGTGAAGTCCTGTTACACTGCTCCCCTTTTGTGGAACACCCCGGCAGACCCGGATTGATCCTTTTCGGGTCAACTTGGGGCTGTCCGGTCCTTTGTTAGGGTAATAGTTCTGTTTGTCTGGACAGACCATCGGCATTTCCATTAAATTTGCCAGGGCGGTATTGGATAGAGAAGTTATAGGGTTGCAGTGCGAGGCTCCATCTTAATAAACGTCCATTGTCTCCAGCTACTCTATTCAGCCATACCAGAGGGTTATGGTCGGTGATTAGAGTAAATTCCTGCCCGTACAAATATGGGGTGAGTTTCTTTAGTGCCCAGACTAGGGCCAAGCATTCCTTTTCCACTGCCGCGTAACTCACTTCCCTAGGTAACAGTTTTCTACTGAGATACGCGACAGGGTGCTCGCTTCCATCCTCACCGACCTGGCTTAGAACTGCCCCCAGTCCATACATGGATGCATCTGGGTCTCCCGGCCTGTATTAGGATCATCTGCGACACGGGACTGTGAACGGGTGGTTACGGGACAGGCGGCAGCAGGTGTGGGCAAATATGCTGAAGTTAAAGGTCCAATGTCATTTCCCAATACGACCTCGGCAGGCAAGTTGTCCATAATGCCGACGGTGGTTTTTCCTGATCCCACTCCCCAATCTAGGTGTACTCGGGCGGTGGGCAAGCGAAAAACAGCGCCCCCTGCAACCCGAACAGCAACAGTGCGGGTCGACACATCCTCCGGCTTCACTAGGTGTTTTTGGATCAAAGTGATGGTAGCCCCGGTGTCTCTTAGGCCTTGTGCTGTTTGTCCATTCACCTTAACCTCCTGTCGGTGATGTTGTCGATTGTCTGGGGAAGCAGCTTGTATGGGGTCTGCTTCATACAAAATCCCCAGACATTCTTCAGGGCCCATTTCGGCTTCCAGACAGTGAGCCGCAGCGGGTCGTGCTGCAGGGGCCTCGGTGCTGGGAGTTGTGCGCCTCCAGTTGTTGTTACTGGATCTTAGGGGACAATACCGGGCAATATGTCCGAGGTTGCTGCAGTGATGGCACGTCACCTTTGACAAATCCCGGGGGTAGTTAGTAGTCCCCTGAGGCCGGGGTGGTCCTGGTGGGACTGGAGCTCGAAATTCTGGGCGTGAGACAGCGGCTGGGGCACGTGGCTCTATTTTGTGAGCTTGTCGGGTAGTACCCTGGCTTACTTTCCTTGTCTCGGCATATTCGTCGGCCAGCCGAGCCGCCTCCTTTAAATTGGCGGGGCGCCGATCTCGTACCCAGTCTTGTATGTCCGCCGCCAAATCTTGGAAGAAATGTTCCATTAAGAATAACTGTAACACCTCCTCACCCGTGTGGGCTTTGCATCCTTGGACCCAGTGAGATGCTACTCTCTGTAGTCGGTTTGCCCATTCCATGTGGGAGTCCACAGCTTTCTTTTTGGACTCCCGAAAGCGACGACGGTAGGCTTCTGGGGTTACCGCATACCTGGTGAGCAGTGCCTCTTTTACTTTTTGGTACTGTGTGATTTCCTCTGTAGTGAGTGCTCGGAAAGCCTCATTAGCTTTCCCTGACAGTTTTCCTGCCAGGATAGTGACCCATTGCTCTGGCGGTATGTGATGTAGTGAGCACTGTCTTTCAAAGTCAGCCAAATATCCATCAATTTCCTCGTCATTTTCTACAAAGGCTTTAAATGCAGTAAAGGGAATTTTTGTTACCGTAGTAGTGGGTAGCGGGGTAGGAACTGTCTGGGTAGTGAGCTGTCGGGCTCTTACCAGTTCCGTTTCTTGTTCCCTCTTGGTTTGTATTTCTTCCCTTGCTTCCCGGAACAGTTGGGTTATTAGTTCTGTAGACGTGACTGGATACAAAGCTAACCTCCGCTGCACAATTGCAGTAATCACATCGTCCTCACTGATGGGTGCCATGGGTTCAGTTACCTCCATGGACCTGTCCATCTCGTCCAGCTCCAGCAAGTCAGCTATCAGCTCCCTCCGTGGTCTGTTGCTGGCACTCCTACCACGATTCTCCAACAGATCCTTTAGTGTGGGTCTTTTCAGCTTCGCATACTGTGACTCCATTCAGTGCTTGCTTGTTGGATAAAAGGACCATCCCACCGCTGCCACCAATGTAACGGCTACCCTGGTAGAGAGAGGGTATCGGCCGTTGGAGACGTCCTTTTTCCCTGCAAGCTGCTGTGGAGAAGTAAGCTGGTATAATCCCATTCACGATATCCAGAGTAAAAGTCAGGTTCAGCTGTAGCAGGAGCAGAATAACATTCCCAAATAATCCCCTTCCAAGAACGAGACAAGGCTACGTTTTGCAGGGTCAAGAAGATCTGAGGTCTGGGAAACCCAGCCTGCTTTTTATTAGGAACAAGTACACACAGGACACTCCCAGGGGGAGGATGAAAATAACCAATTACACACAGGGTAACACCCCCACGTCTCCTCCCCTCAGATAAACATATAACATAATTATAACGTACCTAAATTTACCCACATTCTGGATGTACCCCAAAAACAGGGGGTACACCTTTAAGTCCAGCACCGCTTAATAGCTACCACTCAGGGGAATAACATATTCAAATTTCAAGTCATTCGGTTGTGGGGTTCGGGAGTTATGGGTCTTTGAAGTTTTGACCGACCGCACAGGATTTTCAGCCGAAAAGAGTTCCACAAGTTTTGGCCTTGCGGTCGGTCCCCGTTCGTGAATAAAAACCCCACGAACCCCTTGCCCTCCACAGTAATCCTGCCGTTCGCCTGAATCCCCATGCATGCTTAAACAAAACTACCGAACGGCCGGTCGTTCGGTAGTTTCAGCACGAACTTACGAGCTCCTGGAGGTCTCAGCGGCGTTCGCCTGTTTGCGTATCCGTTTTTAGTTCCATGCGTTCACAGGCAAACACCGCCGTTCGTGCGTAAGATGGCCGCGAACACGTGTAAAGTCCCGAAATGGCGGCCACCTATTCTCAGACAAAGGGATTCGTCTGAACCAGGCGAACGGCTGTATTCTCCAGTAATGATATTCCCTTGCAATGATTTCGCCATTTTCACTGTTTTAGTCCACAGGGCTTTGGTGCTGGTGAAGTCCTGTTACAATATCCATCCCCATATCCATCCCCATCATCCATATCCACCCCATCATCCATATCCATTCCCATCATCCATCCATATCATCCATTTCCATTCCCATCATCCATATCCATCATCCATCCATCCATCCCCATCATCCATATCCATCCATTCCCATCATCCATATCCATCCCCATCATCCATCCCAGAAAATACAGTGTTTACATGCGAAAGGCTGCAGGGAGCTATATTTCTCACATGAACAACCTCATTAAGCTGAAATTGTTCAGATGACTATAGTGTCCCTTTAACTATTTATCCAAACAAAGCTCCATTCCTAGCACTTTACCCAGTCAAAAGTGTCCTTAGAGGCGTTCAGAGACTAACAGTTAATAATCCTATTAAAAGACTTCCGATAGATAGTAACCTATTTAGGAACATCTCCGATCTACTAGACGAGACCCTCTTTGAGCATGTCACTAATCTGATAATCAAATCCACAGCCTACATAGCCTTTTACGGTTTCAGTCATGTCTTAAGAGGAAACACCTAACTAAAACAAACAACCACTATATTTTGTCAATCTCTCATACCAAAATGACCCAGACTGCCTCCCCCCAGTAGAGATTAAATAGTACCCTACCTCTACCAAGAGGTGTCCAGTTCACATATTGAATAATCTAGTCAAGACACACCTTATAACTGACCCCGGATTCCCACTATTAGCCATTCAAGGGAAACCCCTAACCACCAAACAGTTCATGCTATACATATGCACATTGTTACTCAGGCTGGGACACAACCCACATTCATTCTCTGGCCATTCATTCCGTATTGGGGAGGCCACAGCAGCTTCCGGTAATCACGTACCAACACATATCATAAAAAACATGGAACTTTGGAAATCTTCCGCATACAGCAGGTACATCCCTAATCCAGAAAAATAAATCAGATTAGCTTTCCATGAAATGTCTAAATTATGTCTTGCTAAATAAAATACGTCTGCCAAAAGCAATAATTTTCTTAAATTTTTGCCCTCTTTTTACAGGTCTAACTTCAAGTCGGTTTCGGCACACCTCAACCGACTTTGTTCTTATTAAACTTTCATTATATCATATATTCCTCTAAATGTGCAGTACACAAATATATATATATATATATATATATATATATATATATATATATATATATATATATATAAATAATTGCATTCTAAATGTATTTTGATATTAATATATAATTTCAGGCAGGTCCCCTGCAGACACTGCTGTGGACGGCTATTCCATCCATGTGATCACGACGTCATTGTGATCACATGACCTGGGAGGGCCAGATCAGCCACTAGGGGACTGCCTGGGATGCCCGCCGTCGATCAGGTAAGTACTATTGACGGTGTGGCCCGCCGTCCTTAAGGGACATCTATGTGTTGATAAAAGACTTTATATGATCAGTATCCTTTAATAAAATATATATTTTTTTTTTGCATGATTAGTCATATTTTTAAAATCAATGCCAAAATGTCACAATTTCTGCCAAGGTATGCAAACATTTTAGCACAACTGTATTTCAGTTTAGAATTCAGAAATTCGACCAGACATCAGATCAGCCCAAATTTGAATGAATTGCAGTTTGATACAAAACCAATCTCTTAGTTGTGTAAGTTCCTTGCAATGAGTGTTCTGTCTATATAGTGCTTACACCTATATTTTATGTGCAGATTTTCAAGGCAACTTTAATGTGGAAAAGACACATAATTTGGGCTTCCCGTATGATTATGGCTCAGTTATGCATTATCCACGGTAGGTTGAACTCCAAATTCGAGATGTGAGCAGCTTTGTTATAATATATTCCATTTCTCTGTTGAATCTGCACAACCACACAAAGTAATCTCTTTCTTTACAGATATGCTTTCAGCATCAAGGCAGGTGGAAATACTATAGTCCCAAAACCTGACCCTAATGTAGCTATTGGACAGAAAAATGGGATGAGTAATCTGGATTTAAAGAAATTAAACACAGCATATAAATGCAGTAAGTTTTTGTTCATTAACTATACTGTTTCTAAAACTGGCAAAAGAACTAATGGGCATTGAAAATTGTTATATACTGAAAATATTGTAATGTCACGTGCCAAGAGAATTGGAAATAGCTATTGTTTGTTTGTGAAATTGTGACATTGTGACATTTCTACTATTTTTTTAAACAAAATCAAAATGTTCTGTTTTTCAGATATATGTCGGACAAAATTTACACTGTTTAAGTCAGGCTCTTTCTCAACTGACAACATCAACCTTGGACCAGATAACACCTGTGTCTGGTTCTTTCAGGCTCAATCGTCCCATAAGGTTAATATAAAACTAATGTAGAAATTCAATGTTTCCTGTCACAATTTGAGTTTTGATCTCCTAATCGTGGACATTCCAATTATTAGGCATTTGGATAAAATTTGGGAAAGATACCTTATGGATTGAATGCCAAATTGCTTTCTAGTTGTATTAAACATTATAAGATGGTTGGTGTATAAAAGGGCTGATAATGAATTATTAAAAATCACTTTACCAGAAAATATCTTCCTGAAGCAAATTTAGAAATGCATATTAACATTCTAGGATATCTCTGTTTTGCATATAACTATAGAAAAGAAGCCATGACATTGAGAAAAGCAATTGATACAGGACAATGATTGATACAGGGAAAGCCTCTTAAATGGAACACGTTAATTTATGTCTGTATTCTAATTTGTTCATTGGTATTTTCAAATAGTCTGAATACGGCAAGAATTCCATCTCTGTCAGTGACCAAAAGATTCCTATACCAAACAAAATGTGTTTGTTAGGCACAAACTTTTCTGGAGAATAAATGCAAAATCACTAGTACACTCCAAGCACAATAACCATTAAATCTTGCTATAATTATGAAGAATTTAATAAAATGATGTATTAGTTCCCATGGATAGCTAGAGTCAACTTAAACCATCTTTCATATTAATGTATTTTCATGCTCATTGTTCCATATACATTGATGTAACTGAGCTGTATATTCTGTACTCAGGTTTATCTGGAATTCAGTGACGTCAATATCCCACAATCTTCTGGGTGCAGTGGATCTTACTTGAAAATGTATGATGGTGACAATCGTGACGCAACACCTATGCAGCACCAGGCCTGTGGGTTTACAAAGATTCCCCCTCTCATTTCTTCTAAGAATAACCTGGTGATGGTGTTTATGAGCAATCAGAAACCTTCTCAAAGCAAATTTAAAGTTATCTATAAAGAAGGTACATTTTCTTTCCATCAATGCAAAATATGCTTTTTGATTGGTTTCTAATACAAAAACACAACACTGGCCTGTTGGAAATACATTAACTCCTTAAGGACATAGTTTCAAAAGCTTGTCTTACCCATAAGGACACAAGCCATTTTTTTTCATTTTCTGCCGTTTCATTTGCATCTCTCTCATTTATTGCACCAAAAGATATTATATACAGTTTTTTAGAGGCTAAAAGGGGCTTTTGTCACGTATGCATAGACAAATTCTCATTAATTCGAAACAAAATGCCAAAATTTTTTGGCCCACACAGTATTTTGTTAACCTTATGTGTGCTATGGCAGTATAATACTTTATAGGTTGCTCAGCACTGCTGTCGGAATACCCCCATATGTACCTTTGCCAGGTAAATGTGGATGTTGAAGGGGCACATTTGAGATGCAACCTTTTTTTTGTAAACTTTCACCATTTTATAAAGAATACACTGGGGTATTTAGAAAAGCATATTTTGAACCTTTGCGTGGGATCATTTTTTCACTAGTTATTCAGGTGTAGTGATAATGAGTATTTTTTATTTATTTTTTTACTTTTTTTAAAACTTTTTTTAATGCTTTTAAAAATTTTATAATTTTTTTTACTCTTTCTCCCCCTCCCTCCCTTGTCACTCTTTCTCCCCCTCCCTCCCTTGCCACTCTTTCTCCCCCTCCCTTGTCACTTTCTCCCCCTCAGGCGGCTGCAGCTTTGCCCGGGCGATCCGTCCATGAGGGCGGACCGCACCGCCAAGGCGCAGCCTTTCTCCCCCTTCCTCCCTCCTTTGTCACTCTTTCTCCCCCTCCCTCCCTCGTTACTCTCTCCCACTCCCTCCCTTGACACTCTTTCCTCCCCTCCCCCCCAGCTTTGCTGTAGCGTGGCCGAGCCCTGTATCATGGTCCGCGGGTACAGGGAGCTTTTGTTTCCTGTACCCGGCCGGACTAAAAGGAAGTGAACACTCAGTGGGCACTTCCTGTTAGTCCGGCCGGGTACAGGAGACAGATGCTCCCTATACCCGCGGACCATGATACAGGGCTTGGCCACGCTACAGTGAGGGAGTGACAGGAGGGAGCGCTGAGCGCTTCCTTCCTGTCAGCCCCTCTCCTCAGGCTGCGCCTGGGCGGTGCGGTCCGCCCTCATGGACGCATCGCCCGGGCAAAGCTGCAGCCGCCTGAGGCTCTCTACAGAGCGCTCGGGCGGCTGCAGCATGGGGGGGCCGGCGGAGCTGAGGGGGAATTCCCCATAACCTGTCCCCCCCGCATGATTTTCTGGGGGGGATGCGTCCCCAAAACATGCATTAACGCTATAAAAATCCAAAATTCACACAGATCCGTTCAGTACTTCGGAAGATACAGTTTAATCAGTTTAATGCAGATATACAGGCTAAATTAAAAACAATCACTTTATAATGTGTCCCCTGCTGTATAGTCCAAAACCACTGCACGATGTCTCTGTGCACCAAATACTGGCGAGATGGCACCGTGTTGAAAAGTCCAAACAGTGTCTGTGAGTTAAAATGGCCACCATCCATTGTTCTCACCATGTGCTTCATCCATTGTTCTCACCATGTGCCTCTGATACAGGAAATGGTGGCCACCCAGTAACTCCACAGTATGTCCCCAGATGGTTCTTGAAGGGCCAGCAGCAGCACAACACAAATCCATTATGCCCAAATCATGTCTTCAAAGGGCAATACATCCCAGGGGCCATAGTCACATGGCAGGAGGCTGGCAATCAGTCTTCTCCAATGCCCAGTGGCGAGGTCAGTTTTGCCACAATTTACAAAGGAAATTCCAAGGTATTTCAGAGGCCTTAGAGGTAAGAAAAAGAGCCCAAACTTTACCCTGTGATGGATGGTACTTCCACCCCCTAAACTACACCACCTAAGGTAGATGCACAGATTTCCAGGATAGCCTGTGAGACGATGCTACCACTTGACAACTCTGCTTTTTTATGCAAGCCCATGGATGAAAAGTGGACACACACCTGTCCAAATTTAGATGCTTGCTGATGCAGGATGGCATCCAGCTGTAGCTTTCACTGCTGTTTCTAGAACCATGAACAGTCTGTTTAAAGATCTGAAGGCTACTATGGAGAGATATTAAGAGCCAAGATTGAAGATGCTGTCTGAAGTCTTCAGGTTACAACAGACTGTAACGTCACCCCGGGAATAGAAGGGGTTAATGCCGCCAAAGCTTTTCTTTTTCCCGAATGCAAAGTCAACTACTGAACACTCCTAAGCGCCGAACAGGAACCATACAAATTATCCCCCAAATATGAGACAAGGCTCTGTATTGAGGGTCACTGTTTAATGGTGGCTACATGTCAGCCTTTTATTCAGGTCTTTCAGCAAGGGACACTCCCATAGGGACCTTGTGGAAGACTGAGACAGTTTTTACAATAGCCAATAACATGCAGTTACAGGATGCAAACACTCCCACACAAACAGTACAACTCCTCCTCTCTATTCTGGAGATAAATGGGTTAAGTGCTTGAAGTAACTCAATTACCTCCAGGCATAGAGAAAATTACCATTTTACAGTAATGGTAAAAACACATTAAAATACATATTTTCCAATATACCAAACGGAACCCCCACATGAGCACTCAATATAACCGAACAGCGCTCAGATCCCATACATATAGTTCAATCGCTATGGAGTTAATGTTTATACATTGGGTGTTCGACAAAACAAATTAGCTCCATTGGTTTACTATCTGGTACAGTTCCGAGGGTTTACCGACGAACACCGCTGGGCATTTGACTGTCCAAGATGGCCGCCGCCATGTGTTCATTCATACGAATGACGACCACCCAGCCGACCGTTCGGGAGTTGGAAGTGTCTGCGGTTAACCACAATGTTAATGAGGGCAGAAAGGTTAACGAGCAGCACACTTCCCTGCTGGCTGGCCTGCCCAGTGGTGGATCCGGGGGGGGGCAACGGAGCAATTGGCCCTCCCCCTCACACACTTATACTGCCACTCATACACACACTGCCCTCCATACACGCATACATTGCCCCCCATACACACACACTGCCTCCAGACACACATACACTGCCTCCAGACACACATACATTGCCCCCCAGACACACATACACTGCCCCATACACACACACACACTGCCCCCATACAAACACACTGCCCCCATACACACACACTGCTCCCCATACACACACACACTGCCCCCATACACACACACCCGACGGCACACATACACTGCCCCCCATATACACACACACTGCCCTAGGCACACATACACTGCCCCACACACACATACACTGCCCCCATACACACATACACTGCCCCCATACACACATACACACACTGCCCCACATACACACTCTGCCCCACATAAACACACACTGCCCCCACACACACATACATACACTGCCCCATACACATACACTGCCCCCATACACACATTGCCCTACACATACACTGCAATTGTCACACACACATACTGACCCACACATACACAGCCCCCAACACACATTGCATCCCTGACATACACTGCCACCCTCACTCACACACTGCAACCTTCACACACACACACTGCTCACACACTGTCCCCCTCACACACACACACACACACTGCACCCCTCACACATTGCACCACTCACACACACCACTGCTCCTATGCCTCTGACAGCCCCATTTCCCAGCAGACCTCAGGTTAGTTGTCAAACTGTTCTTAAATGGTTTGACTACTTACTCTGGGAGAGGGTCCCGGCACTATTGGCACCATAACCACTACACTGAGCTGTAGTGGTTATTGTGTCTGGATTATTTATTTAAATAGTCTACAAGTGCCCCTTCCCGAGGTCAGGCTCTGGATCCGCCACTGGGCTTGCCATTCGGTAGTTTGTTCATCTTTTGATGAATGCAAGCAGGAAACATACGAACAACCGGCAACTGCCAAACAAACAGATTAATTAGGTTTTAACCCCTTTAGACCGGAGGGCGTACTATTATGCCCTCTAATAGGCGGCTCTAAACGCCGCCGGGCGTAATAGTACGCCCTCCGGTCTTTCTGTACTTACCCGGTCGCCGGCGGTCCCACGCCGGCGATCACGGTGGGGGGGACTCCCAGGGAGCCCCCCGCGGCACGTCCGTCTTCCAGGAAGCCCCCCGGCCGTGTGAGAGTGGGGTCCTAGCGAGGACCCCACAATCACATGGCCGGGTATAGCTGGCTTCTGTATTGCCAGCAGGGGGGCTGCCTGTAATTACAGGTGGTCCCCCTGCTGGCTGAAAATAAAATAAAAATAAGTTAATGGTGTAAAAAAAAATAATTATATATACTTAGATCATATATATATATTATATATATATGATCTAAGTATATATATACACATATACATACACACACATACACCGTCTAGGTGTATTTTACTATTAATATATATATAATTATATATATATATTAATATCAAATTACACGTAGACTGATACTGATTAAATATATATATATATAATTATTGTTATGTATATATTTACATATATTATATAAAAAAAATAAAAATGTAAATGCGTTAAAAAATAAAATTAAAAAAATAATTAAAAATAAATAATTAAAAAATATTTAGATGTGTGTTATTTCATTCTAACTTATTGTGAAATTAATATATATATATATATATATATATATCAAAATACACGTAGAACGAAATAATATATATATCTACATACATAAATATATACGTATATATCACTATATATATACCTATATATAAATAAAAATATTTTTTTAAAATTATATAGATATACACATATAGATTCACATACGTATATATATATACATATTAATTCTACATATATATTTATGTAATATTTTTACATAATTAGGTATCTTAATTAATTACAATTAGCGGGACCTGCCTGACAACCCATGCCGAAAGTAAAGGGAATTTTATTTGCTAGCACTATATTTAACCCTATAATTTTCCAAGACACCATAAAACCTGTACATGGGGGGTACTGTTCTACTCGGGAGACTTCGCTGAACACAAATATTAGTGTTTCAAAACAGTAAAATGTATTACAACGATGATATCGCCAGTAAAAATGACGTTTTTTGCATTTTTCACGCACAAACAGCATTACACGGACAATATTGTTGCTGTGATACTTTTTACTGTTTTGAAACACAAATATTTGTGTTCAGCGAAGTCTCCCGAGTACAACAGTACCCCTCATGTACAGATTTTATGGTGTTTTCAAAACTTACAGCGTCAAATATAAGGCTTGCGTTTCATTTTTTTCACATAAAAATTCGCCAGATTGGTTACATTGCCTTTGAGACCCTTTGAAAATGACCCCTATGATGGCATACCATTTGCAATAGTAGACAACCCAAGGTATTGCAAACAGGGTATGTCCAGTCTTTTTTAGTAGCCACTTAGTCACAAACACTGGCCAAAATTGGCGTTTTTTGCATTTTTCACACACAAACAAATACTAACGCTAACTTTGGCTAGTGTTTGTGACCAAATGGCTACTAAAAAAGACTGGACATACCCCATTTGCAATACCTTGGGTTGTCTACTATTGCAAATGATATGCCATTATGGGTGTAAATTTCATTCCTGGGCTACTATAAAGTCCCAAAGGCAACGTAACCAATCTGGTGAATTTCAATTTCAAATGTAACGTGCTATATTTGACCCTGTAACTTCCCAAAACGCCATAAAACCTGTACATAGGGGGTACTGTCTTACACGTGAGACTTTACTGAATACAAATATGTGTATTATATTGCAGTAAAAGCAAACAGTATTATGACACTGACCGTTAAAATGTCATGTAGAACTAAAAAAAAAAAAAAAAATCGTATTTTCTCCCATTTTTTTCATATTAAATTATGTTTCATAGCTAAATATTTGATATTAAATGAAAGCCCTGTTTCCCCTGAATAAAATGATATATAATAAGGGTGGGTGCATTTACTATGAAAGAGGTGTATTACGGCTGGACAGACATGTAGCGCAAATGCCAGGTTTTGTTTACATTTTGTTTTGTTAACAACGTGTACATTTGGCTTGTGTATTATATATATATATATATATATATATATATATACATATATACATACATATGTGTATATATACATATATATATATAATTTTTTTAAATATTTTTATTTATATATAGGTGTATCTATATAGTGATATATACGTATATATTTATGTATATAGATATATATATTATTTCGTTCTATGTGTATTTTGATATAAATATATATATATTAATATCACAATACAGTTAGAACGAAATAACAAACATCTATATATTTTTTAATTATTTATTTTGAATTATTTTTTTTATTTTTTTTTTACGTATTTACATTTTTTTATATTATATATAAATATATATATATATATATATCAATAATTATATATATATATATATATATATATATATAATTAGTATCAGTCTACGTGTAATTCAATAGTAATATATATATATATATATATATATATATATATATATATATATATATATATATATATATATATATATATATATATATATATATATATATATAAATAATTATATAAATAATTATATATATAATTATTTAAATACACTATATTTTATTTGTAACTGTAATTTTTTTTTTTAACTAATATTTTTTTTTTTTTTACAGGAGAGGGGGCAGAGACAGTGTCAGCCAGTGATTTTACATCACTGGCTGACACACAGGATCAGTGATCACAGTGACTGCCTGTCACTGTGATCACCTCCTGCAGATTGGGTAATTGGCCACAGGGGGGAGTGCCTGGGTGGTACAAGCACTCCCCCCTTCCAATCTGCAGGGGGATCTTTGTGCCAGTTACATGTGTCAGCTAATAGGCTGACACATGTAACACTGATCGCAGTGACAGGCTGTCACTGCGATCAGAGTGCTCTGAGATCGCAGTGACAGCCTGTCACTGCGATCTCAGACAGTGCAGATCGCGGTCACTGACCCCAGGGGGACTGCCTGGGGGGCCAGGTAAGTCCCCCGACCGCGATCTGCACGGGGTAGCCGCTGGCCACGTGTGTCAGCCGATTTGAAATCGGCTGACACACGTTAAAAACTGATCGCAGTGACAGCCTGTCACTGCGATCAGTGACTGCAGATCGCGGTCACCGGCCACAGGGGGGGTTGCCTGCGGGGCCGGGCATCCCCCCCGACCGCGATCTGCAGCGGGCGACTAGCGCCGGCCACATGGGCGGCCATTATAGCGAGGGCGTACTATTACGCCCGCCGGCGTTTAGAGCCGACTCCTGCAGGGCGTAATAGTACGCCCTCCGGATTTAAGGGGTTAAGGGGTTGAATAATAACCCAAAGGCAGAGAGGTCTGCCACACTGACTTCTTCACAGAAGCATCTCTAGATGTAACTAGGATGTTATCTCGAACAAAATGGCTTTTTCTATAGCAGCTAGGAAAGCATTATGGTTCTGTTTCTGGGATGATGACTCACAGTGTGATAGTAACAGAACTTTTTGCTCACTAATAGATACTTATGTATATATTTCTGGGAATTCCAGATACTTTTTCTGCACTGACACTTTTTAAAGAGATTGTTTGCGCAAATACATCTTTTATTTTATTAAACTTTTTGGGGATTTATTATATCAGAGGTCCTTTTAGGTTGCTGCATCTATATACAATTGTTCTGAATTTGCCTTTGTAACAACTGATTTTATAATTATTTGCAACATTCTAATAGGTTGGTTTTTATGGTATGGGCAGGCGCATGTTATGGACAACGAACACAGGTGCATTTTATTGATGGCATTTTGAATGCACAGAGATAACGTAACAAAATTCTTTCCCTCCCTTGGTTATTGCTTGGGTATTACCCATTGTTGTGCTTCCATGGATATAACCATGAAAAAGGAAAATGTATTCCTATTTACCATAATTTTCTTTTACTGGTAATAGGCCATGGCAGCACAAATATCCCACCCTGGAAACAATACTGAGGGTGGGAGGGGTAGGAGGGGTTACATATACCTTCTATTTTAATTAGGTTCATGTCTAATTAGGGATAGGAAGGAGCTACCCATAGTTATGCTGCCATGGCCTATAACCAGGAAAATAATACATTTCCCTATATTTATATATATATATATATATATATATATATATATATATATATATATATATATATATATATATATATATATATATATATATATACACACACACACAACACACAAAATTCAGTGCACTCGCTCATTCATTAAACAGTGATCTTAAGTTTCACAGAATTTAATAGTTTTATTTAAAAACACCTCACCTAGGCAAAAACAATGGGGGTTTAGTTATATTACATAAGCCTGCCACAACGTCAATGTTATTTTATATCTACTTAAATTTGGGATTGTGGGGGTAGAGCCCTATGTAAGTGAGCACCCTATATCCTATTTTCAAAGAGCTCCATTTAGGGGCTAGTTTATGTCTCATATTGGGTGTGCCTACCTTGTTTTATCTTTTACTACAACGTCAATGTACCCCATTCTTGGCAGGTCCTACTCTAGCAGCCTAATGCCAAGATCCTATTTAGCCTTGACCTGCAGAGATTCACACGAGGACGTATTTCCCAAGTAAGTGGATTAATCTCATAAAAGCAGGCATTAGGCTGCTAGAGTAGGACCTGCTAAGAATGGGGTACATTGACATTGTGGAAGGCTTATGCAATATATGATCATATAATGTAACTAAACCCCCATTATTTTTTGCCTATTATTATTATTGCCATTTATATAGCGCCAACAGATTCCGTAGCGCTTAGATGAGGTGTTTTTAAATAATACTATTACATGCTGTGAAACTTGAGTTAGTGAATGAGCGAGTGCACTGGATTTTTTTGTGTTGCGTGGATTGACCCCAGCGGCACCCTATAATGTATGCATGTTCAGGTGAGTGCAGCCCTCTTGATTTCATTAACACACATATATATATATATATATATATATATATATATATGTGTGTGTGTGTGTGTATGTGAATGAAACCAAGATGGCTGCACTCACTTGAACATGCATACTATATATATATATATATATATATATATATATATATTTGTGTTCGGGGCAAATAGCCGTATATGGAATAAGGTTCCAGCATAAGCGTAGGATAGTATAAAGGGAGCAAGTCGGTTGTGGGGTGCCGAGACCGACGATACGGTAGGCCTGTAAATAAAGAGGGCCCACCAAGGAGTAAGTAAAGTAAATGGAAAGAAAAGAGAAAGTGTTGAAATGAGGAGTGGGTGGGAGGGTCATTCTGATGCTGACCTCAAGCGATATGAGTCAGGTAAGGGGTGTCCCTTATATAGGGGAGTGAATTAATTTAAGCCCCTCCCACAAATACAGGCCAAATGGCCTTAAAACTTGTGTTCGGGGCAAATAGCCGTATATGGAATAAGGTTCCAGCATAAGCGTAGGATAGTATAAAGGGAGCAAGTCGGTTGTGGTGTGCCGAGACCGACGATACGGTAGGCCTGTAAATAAAGAGGGCAAAAAGAATAATCAAAGATTTAATACAGTCAACAATATATACAAATTAACCAGACATTTCCTTAAATGCATTACGGTATTTAATTCCTTGAAGGATTTTTGAAGGTAGGAATCTAGGACCGCAACTGGACACCATTTGTTGTGTGTAGGATAGTATGTTATCTCTACTGTTGGTGCGTGTTGACTCGTTTCAGAATGTGGTAGAGCCAATAGGTAATGATATATGTGTTTACATACGTGGGATCGTTGAAGACAATGATCTGTCTGAGTGGTGGTTATGGTAGTGGATTCTCTGGCCTGAGAAAGGCATAAAAGGCAGTGTGCATGGCTGGTAATGTCCAACTTGGTAGTATAATTGAATGGTTGTAGCTCTAATAGGTCCGATAAGGATGGAAAAGTTGGATGGCTATTGGTAATATCTGAGAGGAACATGGGGGGATGGATTCCTGAAAACCTCTGAGTATATTCTTGTCTGGTATGATAGCATGAAGTTATGGTAGTTTGGCCATAGGTTATCCTGTGTTGTTGAATGCCTGTAAAATATATAATTAATGGTGTGTGAGATGGTTTTAGTTTAAGGTGGCAAAAAATGAAGCAAAACCTAGGAGAAATGTTATGACACAGGTTGAGCTATGTCGTGTTCCAATGAGATTCTTTAAAGCCAGGTGAATAGGTGTTATGCGTTCTACAAGTATGGGATGAAAGTGTTAGGTGGGATAGTGCATGCTATGCTGCATGAGTATGTCTAATCCATGATTTTGTCTCTGGAACGAAAGAGTGGCCGTGACTGTATGGGCGGCTGTAGGAAGCGTATAATGAACGTGCCTGGAATATAAATGAGACAATTGTCGGCAAGGATGTATACCCCCGCCTGGTACATGAAAGTAAAAGAAATGTGGTAAGTGGCCAACCAAGTGAGTTCCCCAGCAATACCATGATCGTATGGATGATGAGTGGCATTTGTTGATGATATGACATGTGCTTAGTTGTCTGAGTAACAACGGATTGATGACCCTGACCATGATTTACCCCATGCCACAGCAGCTGCTTTTAGCGGGGAAAGGATTGCCCATTTTATGCCATGTAAGTGCCAGTTTGTAGGGTAGATGGTAGCCGTTTACTGTGTTGATGATATTGGTCTTACTTAACGAAGCTTCAACCCATGCTTGAGTGATAGCTGTAAAGGTAGATCAATGGTGTGTATAGTAAGGAAACTCCTCGGAGGATATGAGGGAGTTGAGACTTGGGGTAGCGAAGGTGTGTGGTCCCAATAAGTCTATGGTTAGTCTTTGTTTAAGGGAAGATTCCCTTGTGACAATACCAATGCGTTTGTGTTTGGTGCCATGCTGTAAATGGTGGAGATTGGAAACCCAAGTAAAAACCCCTCTGCAAATCTTGGCTATGAGTGTGTTTACAGCCGACGGTTCTGTTGTGCTGACTAAGTGAGGGCATGCTATATTCCTTGAGAGTTTATTTATGATACCTGTATGGGAGCCCTTTGAAGCTCCAGAGCCTGAGTAAATCTACTACAAGTCTGGAAGGGTGATGAGTCAGTAGTGTTGAAAATGCATTGGTGTGTACGTTATTTGTAAGTTGTATTGGGACACATGGTTTGTCATGTGCCCTGAATGATTTGAACATATATGCAACAGTCTATATGCAATGCAACTACTAATACCAATTGTCTCTGGTAGTTCAGAGGTGCTGGTACCTGGAGCCTGAGAGTACTTGCTCGTTTGTTTGGGAGAAAATCCCTTCTGTATGGGTACCTGCACAAATAAGCATCTCTACATATTCCAAATGCCAACACAACCAAGGGATGGTCAGTTCCCGTTTTACCTAGAATCCCTGGGTCTGACCATCATAGATACATCATCATACATATATATGCCTTGTGTTCCCAATGTGCCGGGATCATATGTGCAGGGTTAACATCTTGTACCAAGTAACCGAGTTTCGGTTGGTGCTGGTTGTACAGTAGCGTGAGGCCCAGCCTTGTGAGGGCTGTGACTGACTCGAGATTGCCAGTCTGTCGTAAATTTCTTGGCTCATGATTTTATGAGTGAGGCTAGCATGGCCTGGGTGTCACCTGAGTTGGTGTTGCTGGGCCTCCGTTGATGTATGGAGGAGTTTGAATAACTCTGCTTTCCTTGCTGTGGCAGGGTAGGGGATTTGTCGCCTCCTTAGGTCGGAGCCACATCTCCTCTGCTTGAAGGTGTATCACTTCTAGCCAGGGTGCCAGGAAGTGAAGTTCTTCACCATCTTTTTGAGAAATACTTAAATAACAATAAAGATTGCAATTATTATTTGTACCCAGGGGTCTTGTACTGGCTTGCTAGCTAAGCCGTAAGGCGAAACGATTAGGCTTGGTGTTTTTTGGTGACTGGTGAGGCCCTGCTAGTTGCCAAGTGGCTTGAGAGGCTCTATCTATGCTTGGCGCGAGGGGATTTTTTTGTGGCCACCGAACATTGTGGCAGGATGTTGGCCTCTCGGTGACAGTAACCAGAAAATAGGAAGGGGAGTGACAGGTGAGGCCCTCTCTATGATACAATGTGAGGCGGCTAGCTCACGAGTGGCCCGAGGGGTGTATGCCTCCGAGTGTAAGGCGGGGTGTTGGCCTCGCGGGACCACTAACCGAAGCGTAAAGCAGAGAAAACAGGGGGTAATACCTATTGGGCCATAGAACCCTAATTGCCAGTACATTACTACTATTCCAGGGAAGGTAAGAGATGAAGGTGTATCACTTCTAGCCGTGGTGCTAGGAAGAGGTGATTTTTTACCATCTTTTTGAGAAATACTTAAATAACAATAAAGATTGCAATTATATATTTGTACCCAGGGGTCTTGTACCGGCTGGCTAGCTAAGCCGTAAGGCGAAACGATTAGGCTTGGTGTTTTTTTGGTGACTGGTGAGGCCCTGCTAGTTGCCAAGTGGCTTGAGAGGCTCTATCTATGCTTGGCGCGAGGGGATTTTGTGTGGCCACCGAACGTTGTGGCAGGATGTTGGCCTCTTGGTGACAGTAACCAGAAAAAATAGGAAGGGGAGTGACAGGTGAGGCCCTCTCTATGATACAATGCGAGGCGGCTAGCTCACGAGTGGCCCGAGGGGTGTATGCCTCCGAGTGTGAGGCGGGGTGTTGGCCTCGCGGGACCACTAACCGAAGCATAATGCAGAGAAAAAAGGGGGTAATACCTATTGGGCCCTAGAACCCTAATTGCCGGTACACTATTACTATTCCAGGGAAGGTAAGAGATGGATAACTACGTGAGCAGGTGTACGTACCTGGTAGTATGGTATTGAACCTGACAATCCGTATAGGTTTTTTAGTAGTAACTGTAACCTGAATGGATAAAATCGTATGGCATAAGGAAATATGGCATAGTCCAAGCTTATCTTAAAACATACAGTATATGTGAAAGTAAAGTGCCGTGATATATAAATATTAAACATCATATCCATACTGGTTAAATATGTATCAATCTTAACACATTAAGTGCCGTATGTATGTGAACCATATTACCAGTTACGTATATACAGATGCGTGTGCTACTGTGTAATAATATGTGTATTTATAACAGATATTGATATACTGCTTGCTATGTGAATTGTTGTATGCCTTATTGAATGGCAAGTGAACATGGAGTTGCAAAATGCAAGTGCACTGGAGATCTGCTGAGTGCCCTATAGGTGGCAGTGTAGTTGATACTGATTGGTATGTGAAATGTTGTTTGTCTGTTGACCTATAGGGGTCAGTGTTTTGGTGTTTGTAAAACCCCATGAAAATTGTCAATGTACTTGACAGACCTGTAGGTGGCAGTGTTGATAGAACCACTGTTAGTCTTAATGTGAAATGTAAACTATTGTGAATTAAACCTGAAGTTGAGCCCGTGTTGGAGTTTAATTCATAGTTTATGGTTATGTTTAAAACAAATCTTATGTGTAATTTATATTGGCTAGTAATTGTATATGACATGTGAAGACAGTTTTGCTGTTGACCAGTTGGGGTCAGAAATGCTGATTGTATGTTAAAATACCCTTTAACCCCTGAAGGATACATGACGTGTGACATATCATGATTCCCTTTTATTCCAGAGTTTGGTCCTTAAGGGGTTAATCCAAATGCAAGGTTAACGTGAGATTTTGAGAGTGACCTGTAGGGGTCAGTGTGGTTTATGTGAAACATTGTTTGTGAGCTATGCCCCAGCATTATAGTTGTGTGACAGGGAAACAAACAGTGCCCGTTTGACAATATACAATAAGTGAACATAATAGCCAACAGTCATTGTAACAAACCAAAGTTCTGTTCATGGGTTGTAAACGCACGAAGCGTGTGTGTAGTACAACAGTAAATGCATGAACTAGTACCCGTTTGGTAGAAAATTGCACGAACCGTGAGCCTGGTATGTCAGGGAAACAAAACGAAACGAGCAGTGAGATTCGAAATGCACGCACAGAATTGCCTAGTATGTTTAGGCAATTGAAACAGAATGTGTTCCCGTTTGGGAGTATGCTAATGCTTGAAATGAGCCAGTGACAGATATAAACAAGTGAATTTAAACGAATGATATGCATGAACATCCAATGGTTTTAGGACAGATTTAGACAAAATGCAGCCGTAAAGTGAGGACCTGACCCGTGCATGGTGCCGTGGGACTGATGCCTGGCGTAACGGGTAGGTCGACTTACGGTTTGTGAGTCACTTGGACACCATCCACAGCGATAGATTGAAGAAAGAAGGTGGTAGGCCGGAAAAGCCTGTGGCTGAATTCCTGACACAGCTCAGCTTAGAAAACCTCATGGTGTAATCAGGTAAAATGGCGTCTGGATGACCCGGAAGTGGAAATCATTCTGATGCTGACCTCAAGCGATATGAGTCAGGTAAGGGGTGTCCCTTATATAGGGGAGTGAATTAATTTAAGCCCCTCCCACAAATACAGGCCAAATGGCCTTAAAACATATGAAACCAGGAGGGCTGCACTCAGCTGAACATGGATACATTATTTGTATTTGTTTAATAATATTTATTTTTTTCATTTCCCACCAGCAGCGGGACGGTCTGACAGTCCAGGCAGTCCGCCTGCCTGCAGATCCACAGGCAGCTATATTCTTTGAGAGCAATCACATGGTCCCGGGGCCTGATGTGCCATGGGAGGGCTGCCTGGGAAGGATAGTATGCCCAGCACTCTGGGGCTTAAAGCTTTAAAGTGGGACGGAATAGAAGGCCGTAACGGCTTTAAGGACTTAACTTCTAATTCCATGGAGTTAATTTGAAGCCACTACAAGCTAACTCCTGTTGTAATCTGCACCTTACAGCAAATATTTATTGATAAAGACCTTGAGTTAATATTGTTGGTTAAGCTTTTCAATTTTCAATTAAAATATTTTTTTAAACACTTTTCAAATTATTTTTTCTAAATATTAACTAGAGTTGAGCGGACACCTAGATGTTCGGGTTCGCCGAGTTTGGCTCGTTGTCCTTGTAACGGGGATCCAGCAGAGTGGCCACCCAGTAAACAGCACAAGTTAGAATGTGGGCAACTCGACAGTCGTTGCGCAGGTACTGCAGCATGTAGTCGCTCATGTGTGCCAGGCTGCCCAGAGGCAATGACAAGCTGTCCTCTGTGGGAGGTGTATCGGCTGTGTCCTCCATATCCCCCCAGCCAAGCTCCAGTGATGACCATGAGATGCGTTGGGTGCCACCCTGCTGTGAACACAGTTCCTCCTCCTCATCCTCATCCTCCTCATCCTCCAGAACTGTGCCCTGGCTGGACAATTGTGTACCTGGCCTATGCTGGTGGAGGAACCCACCCTCCAAGCCACCTGTGAATGACTGGCCTGATAACCATGGAAATGACTCCTCTTCCTCCTGTGCCACATCCTCTTCCATCATCGCCTGAAGTGTTTTTTCAAGGAGACATAGAAGTGGGATAGTAAGGCTGAGAACGGCATCATCGGCACTGGCCATGTTGGTGGAGTTCTCGAAACAGTGCAACATGGCACACAGGTCTCGCATGGATGCCTACTCATTGGTGGTGAAGTGGTGCTGTTCTGCAGAGCGACTGCCTCGTGCGTGCTGCAGCTGAAACTCCACTATCGCCTGCTGCTGCTCGCACAGCCTCTCCAGCATGTGCAAGGTGGAGTTCCGTCGGGCACGTCGCATATGAGGCAGTGAGCGGGAAGGCTGAAGTTGCGCTGCAGTGCAGACAGGCGAGCAGCAGCAAGGTGGGAACGCCAAAAGCACGTACAGACGACACGCACTTTCTGCAGCAGCTCTGATATATCTGGGTAGTTTTTCAGGAATTTCTGCACCACCAAATTCAGCACACACGCCAAGCAAGGGAGGTGTGTCAAACCGGCTAAGCCCAGAGCTGCTACGAGATTTCGCCTATTATCGCACACCACCAGGCCGAGCTTGAGACTCAGTGGCAACAACCACTCATCGGTCTGTTGTTCCATGCCTGTCCACAGCTCCTGCATGGTGTGGGGTTTTTCCCCCAAACATATGAGTTTTAAAACAGCCTGCTGTCGTTTCCCCCTGGCTGTGCTGAAGTTGGTGGTGAAGGTGTTACACTGACCGGATGAGGAGGTGGTAGAGGAGGAGGAAGCGGAGTAGGAGGAGGAGGCAACAGGAGGCAAAGAGAAATGCCCTGCAATCCTCGGTGGCAAAAGTACATGCGCCAAACTACTATTCGCCTCAGGCCCAGCCGCCACTACATTTGCCCAGTGTGCAGTTAGGGAGATATAGCATCCCTGCCCATGCTTACTGGTCCACAGATGGCGTTTCGCAGTGCACACCTGATTTTGTCCGCCAATTGGTTGTGCAGGGAAGGGATGGCTCGCCTGGAAAAGTTGTGGCGGCTTGGAACCATGTACTGTGGGACAGCCACCACCATCAGGTTTTTAAAACTGTCCGTCTCCACCACACAGAATGACAGCATTTCAAAGGCCAGGAATTTTGAAATGCTGGCATTCAGGGCCAGGGATCGTGGGTGGCCTCTTTCTCTCCAGTGTTTGGGAGATGGACAGCTGAACACCTGTGGGGTCTAGGACCTCATCATCCTCCACATCATCTTCCACCCACTCCTCAACCCTGCCCTCCTTGCCTGTCTGCACACTGCAGAAAGCCACAGTAGTTGGCACCTGTGTTTCATCATCATCAGAGACATGCTCACATGTGGACATATGAGAGGGTCCTCACATGTCCACATCCTGACACATCTGTTCCACTTCTGGGGCAGGGCTAGGTGGATCGCCAATGGAAACCCCGCCAGCAGAGTCATCAAAAAGCATAAGAGACTGCTGCATGACTTGTGGCTCAGACTGCTTGGCTGATTTGCAAGGGGGTGAGGTGAATGACCACCATAAAAAATGAATCCTAGAGACGCCACTGAAGAGCTTGTTCCTGTTCCTGCTTCAGAGAGTGAAGCAGGAACAGGAACAAGATCTTACAAGAGCTTAGTGATTATTAAAGGGAGTATGAAGAGCATAGCAATCCCTGTAGTGATTATAGCTGCCCCCCCCCAAACACGAGATGAGGCTGCGAGTTGAGGGTCAAGTAGAACTGAAGGTTTAATGGGACAGCTGCTTCTTTTCTATAGTATTTCTACACAAGGTTACCACCCACGTGGAACTTGTGGAGCACAGGACATGAAATGCACAATCCAATAGAAACAGAGTTTTACGTTTGAACACTCCCAGTTACTGTACACAAACCCTTCCCTCTGCCTGTGATACAATTAACAAAGACAATGGACTAACTCAATTAACTTTAGCAGAAAAAAACATACATTTTTACAAACCCCCAAAAGTACCCCAAAATACAACATATCCCCACAAAAATCACATCTCCTGAGAGCCCCGATTTGGGCGAACAACAGATCCAAAAATCACCCGGATCAGTCTTATTTTTGCCCCACCGTGCACATGGTCCCATGCCCAAAACAGTTCCATACACTCGATGGCAAAACACTGCTGGACAATTTAAGATGGCCGCCACCACATGTTTGAATCTATTCCAGTTAAACATCTAAGGGGCAGAAACAGAACTTTTGAACATGGGTTATCACAGGGCCCATAGTCCCAGGGTAGGAGGCGGGCAAGCAGGCCCCTCCAAAAACCAGTGGCGAAGTGTAGTTCATCACAGCCTCCGTGGGTATTCAAGGTTACTGAAGAGTAAATATGTTACTGTTGTTTTAAAATTATCTACTATGGGGGCGTGTCTGATTGCTGAGCAACATGGCTGCATAAGAAATTGCTCTGGTGCTGAGCTCCATAACAAGCACGTAAAACAGGCTGCACGTAAAAAGCTGACAAATTGAATTTCTTCACCCAAAAGGGTCCAGCGGCACTTCAGACCTCGCTGCTTGAAATCCAAGATGACGACAGAGACTCAGATGCAAGCGTCTCAACCACCATGACAGAGCACATACATAAAGACCCTGCACACATTACCAAAGACTTTTTAGCACAAGCCCTCAACGCTCTATCTAATAAGCTGATTACTCCATGTCAACACACGGCGTATTAAAATCGTAATTTTTAATGTTTAATAAACTGGACCTTTTTTGCTAACTTATCCAGTTTTATTTTGCTTCAGTTCATTACGATTTTAATACAAAGTATCTAAGCTTACAGTTCTATATACTGTAACGCTTGACAATCTTATTTTGTTACTTTTTATCTTTGTCACTACAAAGTATATTAATTTGAAACAGGTACCATCTACCCCCCATTTTGTTGGGGATTGAGATACCTGAGTTGCACATTTCCCTTCAAGGAGTTTATTTTTATTTTTATTTTTAATTTAAATTTCTATTTTTACATCCATCCATTCGGAAGTATTCAGGGCTTATATCTTTCACTTTCATTATAATTTTATTTCTCCTTTTTTTTTCCTTTTTATCACGTACTCTATATTTTTCACCACTATACCGTAAAGGTACAGTACACATTACTTTCTCTCTTCTATTATATATATTTACTGGATCTCTATTTCTATTCTATTTCTGTGCGGACGGTAGGTGGAAGGTTTTGGACTTGCTAGGTGAGCTGCAAGGGGGGAGGTGCCCCCAGTGTACTTCTTTCGGTGGAATGCGGAAAAAGCCTTTGATAGGCTCCACTTGCCCTTCCTCCTCACGGTCCAAGGGAGATTTGGATTCCTCCCACAGTTCATATCACCACTATACTCACACCCATTAGCTCAAGAGATTAATGGAGGCTTCACATACCGTAGCTTTACAATTTCTAATGGCTCATAACAGGGTTGCTGCATTGGAACCCCGGGCTCGGTTAATCAGAGACAATCCCAAAATTCCCGGAATCAAGGTTAAAGACAAAGAATATAAAATAATTATTCTCAGATGACATCCTCCTCACACTACAACAACAACATATCTCCCTACCTATTCTACATGATCTCAACCAGCACTATAGTAAATGTTCGTACTAGAAACTGAATATATCCAAGACACAAGCGATGGGCATTAACATCCCGAAATACACACTAGACACCCTGAAAGATGCATTCGCCTATGAATGGTGAACAGATACACTCAAATTTCTGGGGGTAGCCCTGATACCACAGCCCTCAGGCCTCTATAAGGCAAATTACCAAGCATTGCTTAATGACATAAAAACACAAATACAAGGCTGGAAGGGGAAATTCGTCTCTTGGATGGGTAGGATAGCAGAAACCAAATGCTACTCATCCCAATATTTCAATATCTATTTTGCACTCTTCCAAATGGACTCCCCACTATCTGCACGAGGCCCAGGGGCAAATTGATTCCTTCATTTGGAATAACTCCAAACCCAGAATTGTGAAATCTACCATATACAAACCGTTCTCACAAGAGGGAATGTGGTTACCAGAAATTGCGGGCTATTACAGGGCAGCAATAATTAGCCCTGTACTGTCGGCAAGTGGCCAAATTAGACCTCTACAGTGGGTTCATATTGAATCAATTTATACCATTTCACTATCACTGCACTCGCATGGATGTCTTGAAAGTTGAGACCAAAACACAAGGACATACTCCCCACGACCAGGCTCACACTCCAACTGTGGGATAAATTCAGAGACAGGCAAACATTACACAAGGGTACCTCCCTTGCTCTACCACTGGAGGCCTTGCCCTCTCTTATCCCTGATTTTAACTACAAGATATGGCACAGAAATGGTATCACCCACCAATATCACATTTTCCAAGGGCCAAATCTGAAATACTTTACCAACAGTCAAACACAATATGGGCTGCCCAACACTGCAAACTTTTCTTATGTGCAACTGTTGTCATGGTCAAAAAAACAACGGATGCTATCCTACGACATTATAAATGCTCTACAGCTGATGGATGTAGAAAACATATGTTATAGAATGCAACCAACCACCAAATTGATCTCTCTCATATATGCCAAACACTGCGCCGCACTGGGCCTCCAGAAATGCACCTTTGTTAGAGCATGGGAATGGGAATTAGACATTTCCCTTCTAGAGAGTCAATGGCAAAAAATACTTATGGCACACAAAAGCTTATCATTGTGCACCTCCCATACGGAGCTTGCAAGAAAAATTCTGCACCGATGGTACCTGGTACCCACACGATTAAAACACAGCAACCCGGGCCTGTCGGATACCTGCTGGTGTTGCTTATCAGACCCAGGGACGATGACCCATATTTGGTGGTCGTGCTCAAACACAACCAAACTCTGGTCAGACATAGAACAGATAATCCACGAATGATTGGGAATGCATTTACCGAAACGTCCTGAAATATACTTACTACATCTCTTTCCAAAGGGTCTTGCCAAAGACCGCAAATATCTTATTTACTATTTACTTGCAGTCGCCCTTTCGGCCATTAGCAGACTATGGTGAAACCCAGGCCCACCAATGGTAACCCAATGTATCCAAACCCTAGAATTAATTAGACGATATGAGATAATGGCACAAAAACACCTACTTTCGAAGGCATTTGTGGTGTCAGCTTGGGCGTCGTGGGAGTCAAATTTCTCTAAAACACACCAAGTAACAACACCATCAGCATAAGCATACAGGAAAAAAACAAAACACCTACACAACTACAAACCTCTCTCGAATGTCTGCAATGGAGAGGCACCACATATACCTCTCAACTTCCTATCAAGGTGCATAGAGCATTTGCCATTAATGCATTCTCCTGAGACGATCACATGATTCCGACAGCTTTGATCATGGTATTGACCTTTTTAAATATATGTTATGAGCTAGCTATATTATATGACTCCGCAAGGAGTGACTCACCTTTCCGTCTCCCCTCCCCACCTACCCCATGTTTATATCTCTACTTACCCCTCACCCTAATCCCATGTTAATGTTGATTTTCTGCATATAAAAAATGCTGGTATATTGTTCGTACAGCATGGACAAGAGAAAACCATAGGTTATGTCTCCTTGAGCACCTTTTGATGTCTAATACTACTGTACTGTCGGCAAGTGGCCAAATTAGACCTCCACAGTGGGTTCATACTGAATCAATCTTTACCAATGATTTCACTATCACTGCACTCGCATGGATGTCTAGAAAGTTGAAAGGACATACTCCCCACGACCAGGCTCACATTCCAACTATGGGATAAATTCAGAGACAGGCAAACAATACACAAGCTATGTCAGATTCATGTATTACCGTACACTGGTATTGAAAATTGAAAATTAAAAAAAAAATATATATATATATATCTACTATGTATTGTCAGTTTGTGCAAACAAGCATTATGTTTTTTTTATTCTGCTCTCACTGACATACTTTCTGTTCCGAACTTGCCTGAAATTTTACTTATTATAAAAAGTGCAGTATGCTGACATTTTATGGTAAACCTATACTAGAGTATTGCTGTTTACACTTTTGTGAAATGTCGAAGAATGCTTGTATCTTATGCAATGCACTACTAAAATAAAGAATGCCAAAATAGTCCAAAGGCAACTTAATCACCAAAAGCAGAGTCTCTTTTGTCTGATGAGGGGTAGGATAAAACAGAAAATGAAAGTGTAGTGCCTGGAATGTCTTTTAGGAAATGTTTATAACAACAAAAAGGGAAAAACAGAAAGGACTGATAGTGTGGTAGGTTGAAAACTTCTTGATACAGTATGGGATGGAGTATGGATAAATAACATTTTGCACTCTCACTTTCAGGGAGCTAAAATACAGCTCCAACTTGAACGCCTGGGTGGAATAATCCCAACTAGTGTGGTGCAGTATCTTCAGATAGTCCTTGTAGCAGTAGGTATCCTCATTGAAATATAAAAATATATAGCTTAGTATGCTGAGCTAGTAAGCAAGGATAGGTATATAGATAGGTGTGCACTCACATATTATGGAGCCCAAATCCTAGCTACAGAAATAGCCCGTGAAGTGGTATGATCCCCACTCTAGGATATAGGTGATGTGGATTTTCCTCTGTGTATATATATATTAAAATAACAATAATAATAATAATAAAAAAAAAAAAATATATATATATATGTATATATATATATATATATATATATATATATATATTCAAGGAGGAAAATTCACATCACCTACATCTTAGAGTGGGGATCATACCACTTCACATGCTGTTTATGGTGTCAAGATTTGGGCTCCATAATATGTGAGTTCACACCTTTCGATATTCCTACCCTTTCTTACTAGCTCAACATACTACACTATATATTTTTATTTGCTTTTTTTATATTTCTATGAGAATGCCTACTGCTACAAGGACTACCTGAAGATACTGCACCACACTATATCCACAGGCGGGAATTATTCCAACCAAGCGTTCAAGTCGGAGCTGTATGAAAGCTCCATAAAAGTGTGAGTTCACAATTTTATTTATCCATACTCTATTGAGATGTTTTTAACCTGCTACACTATCAGTCCTTTTTGTTTTTCCCTTTTTGGGTTATATACACTTCCTAAAGGACATTACAGGTGCTTCACCTTCGTTTTCAGTTATACAAAAAATTATATCAATATACAACAAAATATCAAAATAAAAACAATTATAATATTTTTTATAATATAATAATATTTTAAAAGTTAATCTAAAAATATTAAATCATTTGAAAACTTATCCAACAATATTAAATTGATGCCAATGTAGTAAACAAGCACATAGAATATCTAATGGAGGTTAAATCATGTCCAGGCTGGATTAATTATGTGATTACCATTTGTACATTCATCAAGAGTTCCTTGATCAGTGAAGTACCCATCCACACATCAATTGACACAATATTAAATTATCAATTTTAGTGTTAATGTATGTCTTCAATTATATTTTTAATCTGCAGTTACCTTTGGAAGCAGTTTCACCACTGATGATTCGTTTGTGACGACGCCATATTTTCCCAACCCTTATCCCTGTAGTGCAGATGCTACTTATACCATAATAGCACCATCCGGTAAAAAGGTAATATAATATTAAGGGTACTAAGCTCTTATACTCCTATACTTTTTAATGGGACACTGTAGACATTATAACCATTTCATCTCAATAAATGCTTCCTTTTTGTCCAAGCAGAAGAGAGGGGATGAGTTGCTGTAGACTCTTGTTTATTATTATTATTATAATGATATTTATATAGCGCCATCAAATTCCGCAGCGCTTTACAATGGGTGGACGAACAGACATGTAGTTGTAACCAGACAAGTTGGACACACAGGAACAGAGGGGTTGATTGCCCTGCTCAATGAGCTTACATGCTAGAGGGAGTGGGATAAAATGACACAAAAAGGTAAGGATAGTATAAGACTAGTGACAGCTGCAGAAGAGGAATTAGTCATACGCTTTTATGAAGAAGTGGGTTTTTAATGATTTTTTGAAGGAGTGGAGACTGGGTGAGCATCTAACGGAGGAGGGAAGCGAGTTCCACAGGAATGGTGCAGCCCTTGAGAAATCTTGAAGGTGAGCATCAGAGGTCGGAGTACGGACAGAAGATAGACGTAAGTGTTCAGCAGATCGTAAGGGCCTAGACGGCACATACTTGTGTATAACGGAGGATAGATAGGTGGGAGCAGCATTATATAGCGATTTGAAAGCAAGAACCAGAATTTTAAATTGAGCTCTATATTTTATAGGAAGCCAATGTAGGGAATGACAGAAGAGTGAGTCATGGGAGGTGCGGGCGGACAGGAAAAATGTAAAAATTACAAACTGTTTAACACTAAATGGAAGGACAGCAATAGGGTATCCAGACACTATAACCACTTCAATGAGATGAAGTGGTTATGGTGCCTACAGTGTCTCTCTAAGCAACACACATATAAAATAATTTATTCAAATACATTTACTGATATACATTGATAACAATAATATGGTTAGACATATCTAAGCCCAAATCCTATATGTATCAACAAATATCACCCAAAAAATGATGTACCATCAAAAAGCAAGACAAAGTGAAAAACATACAGTATTGATCAAATGACAATAAATATTCATAAAGTCCAAAGCTTGTAGGTTATAAAAGCTCTTAAGTCTTGAATTGAAAGTGTAACCATATTCTGATCTATAAAAAAACATGTTTAAATGTTCATGGTGTTTTCTGTAAAATTAACCTTTATGACACACAAAAGCACTCACATTCCAACTTAATTGTTTTAAAGGAACATTATAGCGTTAGGAATACAAACCTGTATTCCTAATGCTACACTGTGCCCTGTCCCTAACATATTAGGTCCCCTCCACACCTTTGGAATTTAAAGGGTTGAAAAAATGTTTTCACTTAGCTCAGCAATACCTAATGTGCACAGATGTTTAGCACCCCATTTAAGAAATATAGGCTGGATAAAAGGAAAATTGACATGATCTCTACCAGGCTTATTTTCTGAGGTGGAGATAATAGTGAAGAAGCCAGCTCTGATCCTGAATTCTATTGGGATTCTATCATAAGAGGTGCGGAGCTGGACAATAGTGGTCTTGTGAGATGTCTTCTTGGAGCTACAGGACACATATGTAGCAAACTCACCCCTTTAAGAGAGTTTGTCATGAGCTTTTGGAGGGGCTTGCTTGCCCGCCTCCTGCCATGTGACTATGGCCCTGGGGGTATTGCCCTTTAAAGACAGTAATTGGGCATGATGGATTTTTATTATGCTGCTACTGGCCCTTTAAGCACAGTGTATGGACTTCTATTAGACTGTGTATAGATTGTGTATAGGAAGGTGTACCCCTCCCCCGTTTCCTGTCCCATTGTTCTCCAGCGGGCGTTGTCCCAGGCACACTGCCAGACTATTTGGAACTGGTTTGGCTGGAAAGCCATGCTTCAGTGGACCTAAAGGAACCTCCACAAAGCTTTAAACCCCCATAACTCCAGATCAGATCTGGGTGATTTTTGAATATGTTATTCACCCAGATCAGGGCTATCAGGGGATACCACGGGGATGTACCCTATGTATTTGGGGTACATCTAGAACTTGGGGAAAATATGTACATTTTAACTCTGTTAACAGATAAGCTGATGGGAGGAAATGTGTGGGTTGTACCTTGTACTTTATTGGTTAATGTACTAATTATTGTGAATCCCTCCCTTGCTTGGGAGAAAGGTTTAAAAGAAGGTTGTTGGGAATAAAAGTTCAGTTCTGCTCCTGATACTGTGTGTCGTCCAGTTATTGGAAAAGGTGATGGGATACTATTGTTTTGAATATTTTTATTGTTATCACAACATAAACGCGGATATCAAACATATTATTAAATCAAGTAGTCACCTACCCAGAGGCGTGTATATCGGTACATGGAAATATATGCAGATATTCACCTGCGCAGAGGCGTGTATATCAGATCATGTGCATAGTAATAAACTGTCTTCTGTTTCGTTGCGTGCGTTTTGTAAAGTATAAACTTATTGTGCTCTGTTATAAGCCTACGTTGCATACGCAGAGGCCTATTATGTCAGTAGTGTCATCATAACAGAATACCAAAATGGCACCATCAGGTTGTAAAAAACCTATATACTGCGTTAATCTATATGACTGCACCCGGGTAGATCCTATAATTATATAAATCCACCATCATTAACTGAAGCCTACAGATGATCTGATGGCGGCATGCGTCAACGAGGTGGCATGTTAAGAGACTGGCATTGCGGTCCATATCTGTGTATGTTGACAGGTCTTAACCATATAATTCTGTTAGGGAAGCAGTAATACATAACATTAACCTTAAGCCCAATGGGGCAATGTGACCGAACAACCTGGTCGTTTTTATACTGAATTAATAAACGTAGGTACATCAATTTCGGCATGGGTCGCCATTCTTAACAGCTGAATATCCATTCCGTGTGCGCATGCTGCGTGGGTTCAGGCCTTATATTTATATAATGCATTAAGTAAAGGACGCATAGTCATGTCATTATACACTATAAATACATCGACTTCTGCCTGGGCAATGGCATGCTATGCTCAACTTTTGGGTATCTATTCTGTGTGTACTGGCTGCAAAAGTTAGGGCCATATAATTACATGTTGCGTTGATTAAAGAAAGCATAAACATGACACATTTATGTTAAGTATAAATGACAAAGGTAACAGAGAAACCAGACATTCAAGAAATTAGAATTGGGAGCCATGTAACAGCGCCTAATTTAGCCTTAGCAGGTAGGGCAACTGTATTCTTATTAGGTTTAAAAAAGGTATTTAACATATGCAATAAAAAATAAATACAGAAATGAAAAGGCAGGCTTTTTATATTGCATTCAGCCATTCTGATATTGTTAATGGCAGGCAGTTTGCAGCTGTGAATTGCCTAGCCTGCGTTTATGTGCAGCTAAGGGTAACGCTACTTCTTAATCATACTTTATGGGCTTTTAGCTACGCAGTAGTATAATATTTATTCTCCTGATTGTGACAGCTGGATTTGGTCCAGCAGGTTAACGGCCAGTCACTAGCTTAAAGCGATGTTCGCTTAGAAAGTGACCAACCAAGACGAACTGTAACAAGGCTCAAAGGTACACCTCGCAACGTCTAGTATAACTATAGCGATGTTCGCTTAGAAAGTGACCAACCAAGACCGACTGTAACAAGGCTCAAAGGTACACCTCGCAACGTCTAGTATAACTATAGTAACTATAACAGTATATGAGCAGGACTGTTCGTAGTGTCAGTCCGATAAGGGCCATCCATGGCTTGGCCGTGGTGCGTCTCCCGGGACGCCGAGTCTCCGTCCGTCTCCCCTGGGACGGTCCCAGCCCAGCACCTGAGTCCTCCGCGATGCAGTGGGCACTCGGGGGCCGAAATGATCCGCTGGGCCCCCACACCTAAGGTCCGTGGGTCTCCCGCTCCCTGCACCTCCCCATCACTACCCCAGACCAGTGGAGATTGTGTCCCATTGTCTCTCCCGGTGCCGGCCTCACACTTGGGGCCGGTGCACGCCGCTCCCGGCCACCGGTCCGCCGGGAGGGCCACGCAGACCCACCCCACACGGCTCTCAGCTTCAGGGACATGGCTCTCTGGGGAGCTCCCAGACCCAGAGGCCCGGACACTCACTTTTCCTGCGGGTCGGCAGGCATCGCCGGGGATCCATCAGGGGCCCGGCAGCACCAGGGTCCACCCCGGCCATCCAGGTCGTCTCCCCTCGGTGAATTGTCTCCTTTGGTGTCACTGCACTCCTCTTTCAATTAAGCCTTTGAGGAGAAGCCATGTCAGTAGTATGGCGCGGCTGCGTCGAATCCTTAACCTCCTGAGCTTCTGTGTCAGCTTGAGTCTTCTCTGTCCCTGCCAGGGTGTTTTCACTGTTTAGAGTATTTCTCCTTGGTGTTGGTGTCCAGTACAGCTGGCTGGCCGTCTCTTTGCCATTGCCAGTTTAGGTAGTCGGCATGGTGTCCACGCCATGATTGGTTATGTTGCCTTTGAGACACCGTATGGTAGCCCAGAATGAGAATTACCCCCATGATGGCATACCATTTGCAAAAGTAGACAACCCGGGCGGGGTCGGGCCGCTAAGCGGAGCGGCAGCACACCAAACCAGCTCCAGCTATACACCGCTAAAAAACCCACTTACACAGCCTAAAAATCAGCCAGAAACCAGGAATAAACTGGGAGCCGAGGGGAGACACATCCTGGAGCGGAGCGGTGGAACTTTTGACCCGCCAAGGGCAAGCAATGTGCAAGGCCACGAGGCCCTCGACTAAAGGAGCACACGAGGCCCACACCATGCATTGACAGAGAGGGAAAGACTTCGGAAGCTGGGGGAGGGGGCCCACCTGGTGGGAGGCCCCAGCGCACCTGGGACCAAGAAAGCTGACAGGTGACATAAATCTGCACAACCCCACGGAGCACTTCACATACATGTGGCGGAAAATTATGCTGGGACGCCCTGGCGCCCGACATGTGGCGGGACTTCACCGGGCAGCAGACCGGTCAGCACGGAGCAAGCCCAGACTCCCGCATTTGGTGGTGGTCCGAGAGAAGAAGCCCCCGAGTCTGTGATCCCTGTGGAGCTGAGAAGTGAGGACTGGTGGCCGGGGGGATGCGCTGGCATCAAGTATGAGACCGGAAGCGGGTGAGGCAAGATGGAGCTGCAGCTCTGGCTGGGCCCTGCTGGGACTGGGGAGGTGCAGGAGACTGGTGCCACGTGGACCTACTGGCTGGACTGCCAGAGTCTCGGAGTGCCCACAGCACAGTAGGGCTCCACGCCGACATGGGGGCCTGCCTTGGGGGGGGTAAGAGGGAGGTAAGAGGGGAGTAAGAGGGGGCCCACCTGGCTGGGGGAACTAGGGTGACTCAAAGGAACGCAACAAGACACACATTGTACGTAAGGCTACCAGCAGACCTTATAACTGCTGATCCGTGGGGCTTCAAATGTGCGCAGATCGCAAACTACCACGTTCCCGCAACATATTACACACACTAGGAATACGTTCAAGAGCCAAACATGGGAAATATATGTGTAGACGCACCAGTCCAGACAGGTAGAATCCAAACTTACTTACATCAAACGAATAGCTGCCCAGCTTACAACACACACACGTGCCAGATTAGAGCATACGCGACCATCTTATATACATTTCTGGACGAGCCAGCTCAAACACACATACACCGCTATCAATTATAATCAGCCTAAATTATATCTTTTGCCCTGCGCAAGCTTGATGATCACCTTATTAAATATAGCTATACATACTGGACACCAACGCCTGCACACTGCATTACCAAGCTTATTTAGTGTGCCTTCTCAGCAGACCAACAACATTAAATACCAGACCGCATGACCATTTGTTTAAAAGCAACCAGAAATAAGTTGTGACGCACAACTATGCAATGGTCTAAAATGCATAACGAAGGTACACTATTCAGTTAATAGTTTAATAGTTTATAATCTCTCCCTTTAGTATACTAGCTTATTAGAGCATGTTCTTGATTGTGATGTCCAACTCCGCAAAGCTTATGTAAACTTAATATTTGTGAATACTCGCCTGCAATGACTCATACGCCTCTGCGCAGGCAACTACATGATATTCAGATAAATCCGCAATATGTTTGCTCCATGTTAACTTTAATACGCACGCCTCTGCATAGGCGGCTAACCGCTTTAACCGTATTATACTTAAAACCCATGTTTACTGTGTTAACAATAAAAATATTTCAAACAAAAGTAGACAACCCATGGGATTGCAAATGGGATATGTCCAGTCTCTTTTTGTAGCCACTTAGTCACAAACACTGGCCAAAATTAGCATTCAATTTAGTTTTTTGCATTTTTCACAGACAACAAATATGAACGCTAACTTTGGCAAGTGCTTGTGACTAAGTGGCTACTAAACTGACTGAACATACCCCATTTGTAATACCTTGGGTTGTCTACTTTTGCGAATGGTATGCCATCATAGGGGTAATTTTTATTTTAGGGATACCATTTGATCTCAAAGGTAACATAAACAATCTGGCAAATTTCTCTTGCTGCCCCACTTAACTTGTGTCTCTGACTGCATCACTATCCACTTCGTTAAACTTAAAACAGAACTTCTGGTCTCTCCTCCATCAAGTATTGCTACTTCCGTTTCTGTCTCCTCCACATTAACAGGGCCACCATAAGCTCCACCTCGCAGGCTCCCTGCCTAGGTGTTTTCTTTCTTTGACTCCAACCTCTCCCTCGCCCCTCATGTCCTTTTGAATGACAAATCATGTCATTTTCATCTAAAAAACACAGCGCGTATCTGCCTCTGTTTAACGCCAGATGCGGCTACGGGCCCTTGACCCCTGTGCATCCAACTTGTCTGGTTACAATTACATGTTTGTTAGTCCACCCAATGTACAGTTCTGAAAAATTTTACCACATGACAGAAGGCTTTATATTTTGCTTCTCTTTCTTTATTAACTCCATATAGCAGCAAAGACAAGTAAAGAGAAAACTGAGAACCAATCAAATACAAGCAATAGTTTTATTTATTGTGTCTAACTGAAGCACTTCCTCTTTCTTTGCTGCTTCATCACAACTTAAGTACAGAGTTTTGGTTTTCCCCTCTATCTTTGTTCATTTACTTATTACCGTACTTTCCTTCTTGTATGTACTGCTTCTTGTATTTTATATATCACTTTCTGGGGTACATATCCCCTGGGTGACCCCCTTTTTCTGACTTTCCTAATCTTGGGTTTATTTCTCTTCCCCATTCTATTGTCTCTCTCTTTTTGGATCCCTGAGGGGTCCCATCCTCTCCCTTCAGTTTTTCTTCACCCTTTCTGGGGCCCCGGTTTTCCCCACCTCAACCGACTGGCTCACTCTCGCCACTCGCAGCAATTTCTCACACGCACGCTGGTGCCTTTTGGAACATTCCCTTAAATGTTGCCTTTGCGTGTGCAAAACAAACACTTGCATGTTAGGTACGTTGTCTGTGATCAAACATCTGGTTTAGAGGACACACTTTCGCTAGTCGAACAAGTATGTTTGGGAGTTTTCCCCGTTTGCACTGTTTCTTTTGCAAATCCTCCCGAACGATTAGGAGGTACCTGACTTCCCGCGGCTTGCCATGGGCATTTTGGATTCACAGTTTGCACAGTACTTCTGTGGATCAGCTTTGTTCTGTTGCAGCATTTGCCTTATACTTCTAGTGCTCCTTCAACACAGTGTGGGACCAGGTTTCAGGTCAGTGCTCTGCACTTGGGATTTGGTCAATCCAGTGCGTTTATTCCTTATTCTGTCTGCGGTGAGCCCTCTCTCTGTGCAGTCGAACAGGCCTGTATATGCAGAATTCTGACCTCATGGGTGAGCCCCAGTGATTATGCATTGCCTTCTCCATCTGTCCTATCTGTCAGACGTGACTGTTACTCAGGCTTACCTAACACTTGCTTATATACCACCCCCTGGTCCCTAGGCCTCTGTTACCCTCAGTGCCAATTCATCCTGCCATCACGCTTACAGTCCTTGGGTGAGCCCCATATTACACCCATGTAATCAATGGAAGAGAAACAGACTCCATTCGTCCTACAGGCCATGATTGCCACAGCAGTGGGCTTCTATGGAGAAGGCCTTTTCTAGAACCTTTTCCCCTGAGTATACACAACAGTGCTTCTTGGGTAATACCAATGAGATGCCATGCAGCACTATTTCTCATAGACTAAAAACTGGTGGAATTGGGGAACAAGGAACTTTGACCCCTGGGGCAAATTATTTGGTAAGGCCTTCCTATAGGAGCTCAATAAGCGGGTATCTTTTCCTCACTTATTACCAATAATAACTGTTCAAATCGCAGGCTGTATTTCAATTTTTTTCCAGAATTGGACAGACCTCTCTACGAACGCCTGGGTTCTACAAACCCTTCGGGGCTACCGAATAGAGTTCAAGGGTATGGCGGTCCAACTTCTGAGGGACCTGCGCACATGAGTGGATTTTTCAGCAACATCTGCCTTGTCAAGAAAAAGAATGGAGAATTCAGTCCACTCATCAATCTACAACAATTTAACGCCCACATCATCTAAGACACTTCAGACTTCAGGACGATTTCACCTGTCTAGACTTGAAAGATGCTTACCTGACAATCTCTATTCACAAATTAAGCCGTCCTTATCTTTGCTTCCTCTTTCATGAGACCGCATGGCAATTCATCTGCCCTCCATTCAGTCTCAGCTCGTCTCCCTGGTGTTACACCTTCGGCCCGAGGAGTGTGATGACATCCTTTTTTTCGATCGGGAGAGATGAACGCTACGGGATCACACAGTCTACACCAGTGGTAGTCAACCTTTTTCTATCTACCGCCCACTAATGCATCTTTCTTGATGGAAAAATTTCCTTACCGCTCACAGGTTTTCACGCAAGTGCAAAATATTTTTTAGAAAGGAGGGTGTTTTAAAAAAAATGTACGTACATTTATCTTTTTATTTCTACTTTATGCATGTTTATAATGTTTTTAACTTTAAAGTTTAATGAGAAAGCAATTAAGTAAATTGAAATTACCTTTACTAGTGATTAATGAGATGCTTGAGGTTGATGCTGCGAGACTAAATATTTGATATCTGGTTCGATTTTTGTAAGGAACAAATGAAGGTCTCCTCTTTCGGTGATATTCAGACGATTTCTCTGTTTGCTCTTAATATGATTTCTCATCTGTGCATCAGCTCCCCTCCTCTCCCTCCTCAGTTCCCCTCCCTACCTTTTTTTCTTCTTTTTTTCCATATTTTTAACCTTCCTTATAGCAATGTCCAGTAGGAAGGCTGAGCTAGGTAGCCCACTTACTATTATTAACCAACAACAATTCTCTCCTTTTCCTTCTTTCTCCTTTTTTATAAGTACTCTGCGCCTTCTTTCTCCTTTTTACAAATACTCTACTCCTTCTTTCTTCTATTCTACAAGTACTCTGCTCACAGACAAACACACACACACATACACTTACAGACACACACACTCACAGACAAACACACACTCCCAGACACTCACACATACATACACTTAAAGACACACACATACACACAGACAAACATACACACACTCACACATGCACTTACAGACACTCACACATACACTAACAGACAGACACACATACACTTACAGACACACACACATACACACACAAACACATATACTTACAGACACACATACACACATATACTTACAGACACACATACAAACATATACTTACAGACACACACACATACTTACAGACACACACATACACACACACATATACTTACAGACACACACACACATACACTCAAATTATTGATATTAAATGTCCACCCAGCCTCCCTACCTGGAGAGCTGGTGTGGATCTGTACCAGGGTCCAGTGGGGCTTCACTTCGGCGGGTGGGTGTGTGCTAATCAGATGCTCCCTCGCTGTGTCTGATCTTACCACTGCCACACGTCACGCCGGAGGGTCCAGAAGGTGGCCTGGCAGGAGGGAGCGCTTCCTCCTACTAGTCACTGAAAACTTGCTCCCGCAGAGCCGCTTGCTCCCGCCTGCCCAAAAGGAGAAATCCGCTCAAAAAGAGGATTTAGCAGCCGAAATCCCTACCGCCCACCTGGAATCCTGAAACGCCCACTAGTGGGCGGTAGGGACCAGATTGACGACCCATGGACTACACGGTCCAACTACTAGAATTTGTAGTCAATCGCGCTAAGTAAGCGCTGGAACCCTCTCGAACAGTTCAGTTTCTAGGATTCGAAATAGACTCCAGATACTGTACACTAAGACTTCCAGCCACATAGGTGACCTCCATCTGCAAGGAAATCCACAAGGTCTTACGCATGCCGTCCATATTTCTTCTCCTGCTCGCAATGATAGTAGGGCTCCTATTCTCCTCCATCTGGGCGATATTTCTAGGCCACCTACACTACCGAGCCATGCAATGACTCAGGGTGCTTTTCCTATGCCAGAACTGTATTGTTTAATTCTATATGTGCCTTGTAACGTTTACATGTATACTACAATTCAATTGTTCTGCTTCATGCTTTCAATTTTGGGTTTGATGTGTGTTGGCTTGGACATTGCTATGCACAGTTAGTTATGTTATGGTTTTTAGATCGTAATGTATTGTTTATTAATAATTTATAGTTCAGGACAATCAGGGTATATATTTCATACAACCCATTCCATAGACTAAAATGTTTTATACTATCTTTCAGCATGATTGGACATGCCTATTGAATTGGACGTTAACCTTTATGTTCGTTATTTGGATTATTAACACTAAAGCTAACATAATCTTCAATTGGTCGGCACTATATAAATAATAATAATATATCATGACATGAATATAAATTAAATAGGGGTGGGGCGAATGCCAAATAAAAGGAAAGTAGAAGTGCAGAGCCAAACATAGGCAGGAAGGGAGACAGAGGGGTAGATCTTATTATGTAATAGAAGATGTGCCACATAAGGATATCTACCCCAGTAAGGCAGGAATATTCTCTATACAATACTAGGCAGTTTATACTGTAACTTTGGAGCAGAGGTTGCTCCTGGATCCTAGTATAGGTCCCCTTTCCTCCTGTTTGATCTAAGCATAGTAGACCTGTGATATATGTACGTGCTTGTGAAGGAATAGCCCCATCACTTTCGCCTCCTTTTGTGGAAATGGATTCATGTTTATTTTTCTTTAGATTTTTTTATTTGTTAAGTTCCCAAACAAGGACCAACCCAGAAACCCATTAGAACGTGGAACGTTGAGTATCCTGTACGAAAACCACAACAGAACTAATTAATAGAATGCTCCACTGGGCGGCCATTTCGTGTAAGCATACGCACATGGTCAGGACAATGGATGGCAGCCATATTTTCTCACAAACACAGATAGGGGACTTGGTCGTCGAGTTCCTGGAACTATTTTCGGCCAGGCACTCCCACGAACACTGGTCACCATGGACCGACTGCCCGTTCATGTTACAGCTACACCTACAAGAATGGCGTTCGGGAGATACGTACTACCGAACAAGGGGAGCATTCTACGCTGATCTGTTTTCGTATAACTTATGTGGTTTTTGTACAAATCCTCACAAATGGAGACTGGCTCTTGCCACAACTCCCCTGGAACTATTTTGGGCTTCAACCTCGTGGCAGACTGGTCAAAACTTCCCCGCGATGACGATCTAAAACTACTGAACGGATCTGGGTGATTTTTGGATATGTTGTTCACCCAGATCCAGAGATATGACTGTTGTGGGGTTTCCATGTATTTGGGGGTACTTTTAGGGTGGTTAAGAATTGTTTGATTTTTCTGTCCCTGAGAGATAATGTAATTATTAATGTGTGTTCTGATAATTCTCTCAGGCACAGATGATCATAGAATGGATTTCCCTGCATTTTTGTATAAGAAACCCCATGTTTGGGCTTTTGCATAAATGGCCATGTGTGCTCCTGAATAAAACAGACTTCTCCCAGCAATAAGTCTTGGCTCATGTGTGGGGGGTTATGCAATACTGGCAACATTACATCTTTGGGATTATAGGCATTATTTTATTGGGAAAAGGGCATCTGTGGCAGTGATAGTTTTGCAGACCACCATAATGCTTTTTTGAGGGGTTGAATGACATCTTCCCAATCTGCACATACACATCAGACACTGAAATAAAGATTAAGCTTCTGTAAGATTAGTGGAGGTTTAATAAACAATGATCATTTTACATTGCCAGCGAATCTAACCTGTGCTTTTATGGAGTTATAACAATAGACAGAAGACCCACACAGTCCATCTATACATAGGTTGGAAGGTAAGGAGTTCATGTCATATTTTACTCAAATCAAAGACAATTTGAGAAATATTCTCTTGTAACCTTGAGTTTGTCTTCATCTTCTAGGTGTCTCTGGAATTCATTGTGATTCAATTAGTATATTGCAAATTTACTTGCGCATGCATCTGTGACTACATCATTATAATTGATGGACCCTCCATAAATGGCCGAGTTATGGGCAAATTCTGTGGGTTTGCTTTACCTCCTCCAATGGTATCTACACAAAACGTAGTGATAATACTTTTTCACAGTGATAGCCAAAAAGCTGCATCTGGATTCCAAGTAAAATTTAAATTTGGTAAGGAAAAGATATGTAATAGCAGCACAGTCTTCATTACAATCAATTAATCAATTTATTTCACGTTTATAGGAGCTTATTCACTATGGGTATTTTATAAAATGTCTTTTTACATGTATCTACAAGTATATTGTTTTTATTTTTTCAATATTGGTGTGGTGATAAAATAACTCTATACTTTAATCTATGCAGTGAATACAATTCTCCCCAAGGAAGAATTATTGGCAAATTAGCAGAACAATCAGACATTTATGCTATTCAACAATGTGGAGATTTTGCAGTTAATGCCCCTTAAAGGGCTGAAGTAGGTCCGAATTAAAGCCAAACCAAATACCACCAGACAGCTGAAATTAAGATCTGAATGCTTTAAATTCAGGCCCAGATGTGACTAGTGACTGGGTAAATAACAGGCAGGTACAACGTCCCCTTCCAGCCCCCATCCATGGGCATCAGATGAGTGACTTTAAAATAAACAATGGCAGGTAGACAGATAATTGTTTGTGGGTGGGAGCTCTAAAATATAATATTAAAGGACCTAGTGTCTACCCCTGCTCCCCAAAGATTGGAGGCACGTAGAGATCCTAATAATGATATTAAAGAGCAAGGATCTAATGTTTTCCCCAGACCCCACCTATTGATGGCAGATGGGGGCCCTAATAATAATATTAAGAGGAGAGGATCTAGTTTCCCCCAAGCTTCCACCCATGGGTGGCGGTAGACGGCTATAAATAAGAACGGAAAGGGAGGGTGGAAAATACCATTTGGTTAGAGACTTTTTTTCCATTTTTAAATGTTTTTGACACAGTTTGCAATTAAGGAAGCTAACTTCCCTTGATTTTTATGACATCTGTATAAGACCTGGGTAATTCATTTTTTGATAAGGATAGTAAAAACCATGTACTAAACATTGATCTTTCTGCAGCTTAGTAGATAACTCCCTAATTTTCTGTTCTTAAGTAGGATTATAATATTATAACAAATAAGGGAGCTATCTGCTAAACAGTGTCCTAATTTGGTATCCTTAAATATGGCAACCCCACAAGAGGGTACTAATTTAGGAACTTATCTGCTAAACTGCCGAAAGATCAACATTTGTAATTCTGTGACTTTCCCCTTTGCATTTTGGTTTGCCCCAATCAATATTTTCCAAGTTTCGAATGGACTGAACTTAAAAAATAAACAAATTGAAACAAAACAATTTTTTCCCCATGTACACATCTTTAGTTTTTATATTGTTCATTTCATTATGTGGATCAGCCTTGTAATGCATGGTGATGTCATCTGTGCATTACCCTCTGAAATGCATAGGTTAACAGACATTGCAGTACTGGGATTCTGGTCTTTGATCAGACTGAGATTATAGGGTATTATGATTTTGGGCACAAACTAGTATCTGCAGTTGCCACCATTTTAATTCAGCCCTCCCACAACAATTATATAGCAGGAATGGAGCTAAAAACAAGGAAAAAGTGTGACTATATCTCCAGTTACTTTGCAACATACCGTTATTGGTAGATAGCTGAATTCGAATGGTGGTAGCTGGAAATAGCCGTTAGGACTGTAAATATAACCAGTCTTGAACAGACCTGGACATGTATGTCATAGTGCAGCCCAAAGATTAAAGAAACTCTATTCTTAAACCTAGCATAAACATGTAATATAAAACATACATAATGGTTAAAGCATATAGAGACAATGACTAAACTTCACAGTTCTGGAAACATTTGGCCTAATTATTTATTGTAATTTCTCAAAAACTTTGAAATGGTACTACTATAGCTCATGATGTTGATATTGTAGAAGCAATATTTATATCAGGCCTCTATTGTGTTCCAGAATGTTTCTAAACTGGTAGACGCCATAAGATCTCCTTAAGAACTGCATTTCCCATGATGCTTTGCCAGCTTTAGATCATTTACATTTTACCTTTTGGCTATCCCAGCTCTTTCTTTTAACACAATTCCTCATCTAATTTATTGTTCTTTCTTGTAGTGAACTGATTTAGAAGATTTCTGGAGACCAAGCTGGAAAAGTGAAAATTCAAATACCCATCTAATTGTTTTTTAGAAATATGGAGATAAATGGTCCATCAATGCAATATTTCTGTAAACTAGCACTGGCAAATATTATGGAAGTTGGAATATGTTAAAAGTTTGAACTGAACTATTCTATGACATAAAATGGCAATAATGCACAACTACACAAGTTTGCAGAACATTGTTTTTGTCTTGTGATCATTTAAAAAGTTTATCCAAAATAATTAAATCAATGCCAATGACTGAAAAATGGTAATGTGTCCTTCATTTGCACCAGTCTAGATCTGTCCATGTTATGAACTAAGACAACTTCTTAATGTGTCCTTTGTAGGAAACTGGACAACAAATTCCCAGATAAAATCTTTTTTTTTTTTTGTCAATCTTTGTTTTTATTGTGACATACGTTTAACATGTATTGCAATAGTACAGTCAAGGCAAGATCAATATAAGCAATAATGTGACAGCACAAGAACAAGGACAGTCTACAAAGAGGTATGTTAGCACAATATTACTATACGTTAAAGTTTAGACAAGCTGACTAAGTTTAAACAAGCCACTTTGGTAGTAAAAGAAAACAAATTACCATATATGCTCGAGTATAAGATGAGTTTTTCAGCACATTTTTTGTGCTGAAAACCCCCCCACTCGTCTTATACTCGAGTTACTGTATGTACAGTACTCCACGCTCTGTCAGTCCCTGCATTGGCTTCCAGTTAGATATAGGGCCCAATTCAAAATTCTGGCGCTTGCTTACAAATCCCTACATAATGCTGCTCCAACATACCTATCCTCCCTCATACACAAGTATGTCCCGTCGAGACCCCTGCGCTCAGCCCAAGACCTACTCCTATCCTCTGCCCGGATCCCCACCTCTGATGCTCGCCTTCAAGACTTCTCCAGGGCTGCACCTATTCTGTGGAACTCCCTTCCCTCCTCAATCAGACTTTCACCCAGCCTCCATTCCTTCAAAAAATCTTTGAAAACTCACTTCTTCATTAAAGCGTATCAATTAAACTGTCAGCAGGTTTCTCATCCCCCACCCCATGACTCCATTCCTGCACCTGTCAAAAATGACCTACCAAGCACTCAATAAACCCTTCTGTAACAAACTATTTAATTCCCCTAATTTAACCGTTTGTGTCACTATTAGTGATGCACCGAACGGTTCGCTGGAGAACAGTTACTGGCGAACATAGCGTGTTCGCGTCCGCCGCGGACGGCGAACACATGCGCGGTTTGATCCGCCCCCTATTCGTCATCATTGAGTAAACTTTGACCCTGTACCTCACAGTCAGCAGACACATTCCAGCCAATTAGCAGCACACCCTCCCTAGCAGACCCTCCCACCTACTGGACAGCATCCATTTTAGATTCATTCTCAAGCTGCATGCTTAGTGAGAGGAGGGAAAGTGTAGCTGCTGTTGATTAGATAGGGAAATGCATAGCTAGGTTAGGGTATACAGTGTCCACTACAGTCCTGAAGGATTCATCTGATCTCTGCTGTAATGACAGCACCCCAAAAAGCCCTTTTTAGGGCTAGAACATCAGTCTGCTTTTTTTTTTTTTCTGTGTAATGTAATTGCAGTTAGTTGTCTGCCACTGCTGCCAGCTTCTGTGTCAGGCTCACAGTGGATACTGTGCCCATTTGCCCAGTCAGTGCCACCACTCATATCTGGTGTCACAATAGCTTGCATTTAAAAACAAAAAACTTTTTTCACTGTTATAGATTGAATAGCAGTCAGTGTCCTTAAAGCGGGTGTGTCAGGCTCACAGTGGATACTGTGCCCAGTGCCACCACTCACTCACTGGTGTCACAATAGCTTGCATTTAAAAACAAAAAACTTTTTTCACTGTTATAGATTGAATAGCAGTTAGTTGTCTGCCACTGCTGCCAGCTTCTGTGTCAGGCTCATAGCAGTCAGTGTCCTTAAAGCAGGTGTCAGGCCTACAGCCTGTGCTCTGCACACCTGTGCCAGCGTACTTTGACAGTTGCCACTCATATCTGGTGTCTCTGTAGCGTGCTTTTACAAAGAAAAAAGTTTTCCAGTGTAAGCTAATAGCAGTCAGTGTCCTTCAAGCATGTGTGTCAGGCCTACAGCCTGTGCTCTGCACACCTGTGCCAGCGTACTTTGACAGTTGCCACTCATATCTGGTGTCTCTGTAGCGTGCTTTTACAAAGAAAAAAAGGTTTCCAGTGTAAGCTAATAGCAGTCAGTGTCCTTCAAGCGTGTGTGTCAGGCCTACAGCCTGTGCTCTGCACACCTGTGCCAGCATACTTTGACAGTTGCCATTCATATCTGGTGTCTCTGTAGCGTGCTTTTACAAAGAAAAAAAGGTTTCCAGTGTAAGCTAATAGCAGTCAGTGTCCTTAAAGCGGGTGTGTCAGGCCTTCAGCGTGTGCTCTGCAGAACTGTGCCAGTGCACATTGCCACTCATATCTGGTCTCACAGAAGCTTGCACGCATAGTACCACTAAACCCCCAAAAAATGACAGGCAGAGGCAGGCAACCCCGCAGGGGCAATCGTGGTCGTGGTGCTGTGATTCCCTTTGGCCCTAGAATAATGCCCAGTTTTCAGAGGCCACGTACCCTGAACTTGAAAAGTTCTGAGGACATAGTTGACTGGCTAACAAAGGACACCCAATCTTCTACAGCCTCCGCTCAGAACCTTGACGCACCATCCTCCTCCAGCTTAGCTTCAGGCACCTCTCAAGATACCACTCACCCGCCTGCCGCCACCACCAAAACTAGCACCACAGCCGCTTTACTTGGTATGTCAGAGGAGTTATTCACACATCCGTTTGAAGAAATGAGTGATGCGCAACCATTATTGCCAGAGGATGTAGATAACAGGGATATGTCTCAGGCAGGCAGCATTACACACATGGACGTACGGTGTGATGATGATGATGATGTTGTACCCGCTGCTGCTTCCTTTGCTGAGTTGTCAGATACAAGTGAAGCGGTTGATGATGACGATGCGTCCATGGATGTCACGTGGGTGCCCGCTCGTCAAGAAGAAGAACAGGGCGAAAGTTCAGATGGGGAGACAGGGAGGAGGAGGAGACGAGTTGGAAGCAGGGGGAGGTCGTCGCAAGGAGCTAGTGGCACAGTCAGACAGCATGCATCGACACCCGGGGTCAGCCCGACAGCACGCCAATCAACGCATGCTGTGTCCACCACCAGAATGCCGTCATTGCAGAGCTCAGCAGTGTGGAATTTTTTTTGTGTGTCTGCCTCTGACAACAGCGATGCCATTTGCAACCTGTGCCAAAAGAAACTGAGTCGTGGGAAGTCCAACACCCACCTAGGTACAACTGCTTTGCGTAGGCACATGATCTCACATCACAAACGCCTATGGGATCAACACATGAGTACAAGCAGCACGCCTACTCTAAGCCGCCATCCTCCTCCTGGTCCAGCATCTTCAGCCACGTCAACCACTGCTGTCCTCCTTGCCCCCTCTCAACCATCCGCCACTCCGTCTCCCGCCTTGAGCAGTTCCGCTCATCTGCCCACAGTCATGTGTCTGTCAAGGACATGTTTGAGCGTAAGAAGCCAATGTCAGAAAGTCACCCCCTTGCCCAGCGTCTGACAGCTGGCTTGTCCGAACTATTAGCCCGCCAGCTTTTACCATACAAGCTGGTGGAGTCTGAGGCGTTCAAAAATTTGTAGCTATTGGGACACCACAGTGGAAGGTACCCGGACGAAATTTCTTTTCACAAAAGGCAATCCCCAACCTGTACTCGATTGTGCAAAAGGAAGTAATGGCATGTCTGGCACACAGTGTTGGGGCAAGGGTCCATCTGACCACTGATACCTGGTCTGCAAAGCATGGTCAGGGCAGGTATATCACCTACACTGCGCATTGGGTAAACTTGCTGACTGCTGCCAAGCATGGAATGCATGGCTCTGCAGAGGAGTTGGTGACACCGCCACGACTTGCAGGCAGTCCTGCTGCCACCTCCTCTACTCCTCCTACTCCATCCTCTTCCATAACCTCCTCGGCTGAGTCCTCTTCTGCTGATGCGTCTTGCTCCACATCAACGGCACCCCCCCAGCTCCCCAGGTACTATTCCACATCCCGGATACGGCAGTGTCACGCCATCTTGGGTTTGATTTGCTTGAAAGCAGAGAGTCACACCGCACAAGCACTCCTGTCTGCCCTGAATGCACAGGTGGAAAAGTGGCTGACTCCACAGCGACTGGATTTCGGCAAAGTGGTTTGTGACAATGGAACAAATTTGTTAGCGGCATTGAAGTTGGGCAAGTTGACACATGTGCCGTGCATGGCACGTGTGTAATCTGATCGTACAACGCTTTGTGCATAAGTACAGAGGCTTACAGGACGTCCTGAAGCAGGCCAGGAAGGTGTGTGGCCATTTCAGGTGTTCCTACACGGCCATGGCTCACTTTGCCGATATCCAGTGGCGAAACAACATGCCAGTGAGGCGCTTGATTTGCGACAGCCCGACACGTTGGAATTCAACACTCCTAATGTTCGACCGCCTGCTCCAACAAGAAAAAGCCGTTAATGAATATTTGTATGACCGGGGTGCTATGACAGCCTCTGTGGAGCTGGGAATTTTTTTGCCACGTTACTGGACACTCATGCGCAATGCCTGTAGGCTCATGCGTCCTTTTGAGGAGGTGACAAATTTAGTCAGTCGCACCGAAGGCACCATCAGCGACATCATACCATTTGTTTTCTTCCTGGAGCGTGCCCTGCGAAGAGTGCTGGATCAGGCCGTAGATGAGCGTGAAGAGGAAGAGGAAGAGTTGTGGTCACCATCACACCAGAAACAGCCTTATCAGCATCGCTTGCTGGACCTGCGGCAATGCTGGAAGAGGATTGTGAGGAAGAGGAGTCAGAGGAGGAATGTGGCTTTGAGGAGGAGGAGGAGCAAGACCAACCACAACAGGCATCCCAGGGTGCTCGTTGTCACCTATCTGGTACCTGTGGTGTTGTACGTGGCTGGGGGGGAAGAACATACCATCATTGACATCAGTGAGGAGGAGGAACAGGAAATGAGTAGCTCGGCATCCAAAC